TCTCTTCAGCTATTTTTCTTATATTTTGTAAATTTTTTGTTAGCCCTCCTTGTTTCGCCTGCACATTATGCTGTCTTGCGTTGTCCTGGCCATATCCTTCGATATCCTTTTTGTTGTGCGGCGCAACGAGCAAATGAAAAATAAGCTTCGAAAACATTTTGTGCCATTTAAAGAACAACATTTTGTTATTGTCGTCCCCTTGTTTGTCTTATATTACAAGTTCTGGTCACCCGAAATGCTGGACATTCCTGTTTTTGTTGTCCTGTGTCCAATTTGATTTTTATTCGCCTTCCTTTTTTTTTTTTGTTTTTGGTTTTGTGTGGTGCTCTGTGGCTCGTGTTGTGTCATAGATGAAATGAGTTTCTCAGCATTTTCCAGTTGATGTGCTTAATGGTGTTTGCTTTTACAACTTTCTATTTGCCAGTTGTTCTTTGGCCGCATCTTTATGCTAATCTCTGTGTCACACAAACACACACACAAACACACACAGATGCGGTGAATATGATAGCAGTGTGGTGATGGAAATATTTAAGAAAACTACCTATACTTTTAAAGCTGATTTTCATTTTAAGCTACATTAAATGTGGTTGCTACCGAATGTAGAAACGTACTTAGTGGTTTTAAGCTGTTTGCTCTTAATTTGTTCTACATTATTTCAATTCATTATTAATTAAACTTGGCAGAAAATCTCAAAATTCTTTAAACAAGAATATTCTTGTTTTTTTTTTTTTAATATTCCCTACCATTATTTTGACCATAGCTAAAAGTCCACCTGTATGGACTTCAGAGGAAAACCTTTTTTCAATGATGAGGCGAGCTTTGAAATTATCTAAAAGGGGGAAAACCAAAGGAACAGTCATTTACTCGGCTGCTGCTGCTCAGTTGCTTTTAGTGTAATTAAAAATGCAGTCTACAAATCTCTCACCACTTTCTCCGTCTTCCATCTTCCATTTTCCATTTTGCCATTTTCCGTTTTCCATTCGCTGCTTACTTTCTTATGCATTTTCCTTTTGGTCCCGCTGCGGCTTGTTGTTGTTAGAGACGAAACCTTTTGGCCGCCATCCTTTCAGGCAGCTTTTCCTTGAAGGCTTTAAGAAGCCGCCCTGAAAATGATTTAATTCACCGCATTTCGCAATTAAACGCAAGGCGTGGGTGGCGAGTGCAACACTAATTGCATTTTTTTCACGCCATTTTCTGTTGATAAAGGGATTTGGTTTCTCCCTGGCGCCTGCAACTGATTTCGAGGGGGGGCGCAAAGGGGAGGGGGCGGGGCACAAACTTAATTAAGCCCCAATGCCAACTGCCTACGGGTATGGGTATTGTGGGTGCTGGATCCGCTGCGGTTCAGCATCTTTAATAAAACCGTTGGCTGAGAAGCCAACATGGCCGCAGGTAATGAAAAGCCCGATGACAATTTTTAGTTGCCGCCATGAAAACATTTCGATTGCGGTTGCCAGGCGACGGAGGAGGTAGTTCCGCCTGATCGCCGGGAATGGTCAGGAGCGGCGTGGAGTGGCCAGGAGTGGCCAGGATCTGGCAGGACAACAGCTGAAAGCAAATCGGATAAAGGCAATTCAAGTAAATGCTCACCAACTATGGTTTCACTTCACTTCTCTTTACTTGGTCACTGAAAGAAACCCATGATACAGGGGTTTGTTCTTGAATTCTTAAACAACAAGCTTAATAAGAAGTATTTTTTAAGGGGAGGGAATTTAATAGTTTCAAAAATAATTTTAAACATTACAATTAAATGAGAAAACTATATTGTTTAGAATTTAAATACTTTCATTCTTTTTTTAAATTAAAAGCTTAATTGTTGTTGTAATATCTTAATATTATGAAAAACTCTTGCTATTTGAGTGGTTTGTTAATACATTAGTTTCAAAGTTAGTTTTTGACTTTCAAGTAAACTTTTTCTCAGTGCTGTTCATGTCATTAAGCACGTAATTACAATAGCCAATATTGTTCTTTTTTCCCCGGTATAAACACTTTCTATTTTCCAGCCCTTTTCCCTATTTTTCCTATAAAATCCCTGTGGGTTTGCCAGCTACTGCATTTAATCACTGCGGTTGTGTTAGGAAACGGGAATATTTAGATAGATCTGGCACATCCCGCCGCAAGGACACACTTGGCTTCATTAGCTGCACTCTGCGAAGAAATTTCTGCTGGGAAAGCAGATTGCATGCAATCTCAGCATCTGAGCAACTCGGTATATCAGCATCTCAGCATTTCATCCTGCAGGGCCCAATTTCCCACAGTTTTTCCCAAGGAAGTTCCTGCGTGTGTGTGTGTGTGAGTGTGTGGGGGGCATAAATAAATAATGGTCGTATATACATTGCACTTTGATGGCGGCAAGATCGACTCTCAATGGATGTTATTTGCTCGTTTTTCTTAAAGGCGCTTAATTTTCAGTTTGGCTCGGTCCCTTTCTGCGGGCTTTCCCAACCATCCACCCTTTTAGCCCTCAGTTGGCATAAATGCATTAAAAACAATAAATGTGCAAAGTGGAGCGGCGCTGAATTGCTCGTAAAGTGGAGCGAGCTAGACAAGAAGCCAGCCAGGATGTGCCAGCATGCTTCGCTGGCTACCCCTTTTACCAGTTTACCAGGCAACCCCTTTATACTGGGGGATGGAGAGGGGTAAGGGGAAGGGGGCTTACCCCCAAACCGTCACGGTCATTGCAAATTAATGGCCTTCAAAGTGGTTAAGCAGCAGGAGATGCAGTTCGCTGGACGCTCGCCGCTTGTTGGCCAAGCAGCAGCTCATCGCATCGCAGTCCACAAAAGGAGCGCCGGCGGATTTTATGAGTTTCCACGGATGGAAACGGTGAAAATAAGAAATTTTCCACAAAATAATATTACCCCGAAAGCTCCTTCGGCTGCCTTTTTCCGTGTTGCCATTAAGTGCAAAAGGATTTTCATTCTTATGCGCATCCTGTGCATAATACAGCAGCCTCTGCACACGCAAAACTCATTGTGTCTGTGAGTGTATCTTCTTGCATATTTCTGCTTCAGTGTGTGTGTGTGTGTGGGTTGGCAAGGATATGCCAATTTATTGCACACACGAGTGCATTAGAGTGCCACAGTCCTTGCCATTCCCTCACGTACGTAAGTGTATATGTGTGTGTGGTGTGTGTGTGTGTGTGTGTGTTTGTAGGGAGTGTGTCCGTCTATCCTTCGCTGGGCCAACGTTTTTGTGTTCATTTGGCGATTGCGGCTGCTGCATGTCTGGCAGAAATTACTTAATCCTTGCGGTTTTCTGGAGCAGCAAGTGCATTCTGTGACCATTTCCCTCAATCCTGCACTCCATTCCCTTGGCTCCTTTCCTCCCCTTTCATTCACTTGCCCATTAAAGCAATTGTAATTGGCATTTGTTGTTATTTAAGCAAGCTGGCAAAATCAGTTAGTTGCTCCCTTTTAAAGACTAGCTGTCCTTTTTGGCTGGGAGTTTCAACTGGACTCTTGAGTGTAGGGAGCCACTCCCCTTGGTCCACCATCATTCACATTTTCATGGGTTTTCCTCCCTTTTTTCCGATCTGAATCGCCTGTGCTGACTGCCCCGTCTTAGCGACCTTAAATATTTGCCTGGGCCACTGCCAGGATTCTGTTCCTGCCGCCGCTTTATTGCCCCCCGAGATGAACTGGATCCTATACTCATCCTTCGGCTTAGTGCACAGAAAACCATAATCTATTATTTATATTGTTTAAAAATAATTCAATTTTTGAATATTTAATTAAAAAAGGCAAAATTTTTTGAATATTCCAAGAAAACGTAAGTTTTACTTAGTAAATAATTATTTCTTCAAATTATTTTCTGTGTACGAGTGCCGTGCTTTTAGTGCCTGAGCTCTCGAATGCAGGATGTTGAAGGGACTGTCCATCCACGGCGCAGATTACAAATAAATTATCGCTTAATAGTCTTTTTACGCTCGTCGCTTTTTCTGTTCTTTCTGGCCGGACAACTTTGATCCCTCATTTTTACATGACGAAGTTCGAAAAGCTTTTCCCTGCGTCGTTTTAATATGGCTATGTACTTTGCTTTTGCAGATGTAAAAAAATGGAATTTCTTTAACACAGACTGAGTGACTATATGACTGATTAAAAGTTGAACAAGAACCGCTTCGTCAAATTATTATTTATTTATATAAAATCAATAAAGCAAAATTACTTTCAGAGGCATGCCTCTTTAAAATTTGATTAAAATTAGAAAAGTTATGGACTTAGTTTTGAGTTTTGGTAAATTTTTAGCAAATCCAATTTTTGGGCATTTTGAAAAGGGGTTGTTATATTAAAATTGAAAAATCGGCCAAAAACGAAAAATTTTCTAATGATGCAGTTGGTTAAAGAATTAAAACATAAACTTTTACAGATATGCCACTTTAAAATCGGACTAAAATTGGAAAAGTAATAGACTTAGAATTAGTGAGTTTTGGTCCATTTTCAGCAAATCCTTTTTTTTTAATTTTGAAAGTAAACTTTTAGAGTTATGCCAAGTCGAAGCTAAGAGTTGATTTAACCACCATACTATTATATAAATTAAATCCAGAATGGAAGGCTTAAATTTGTTTCCCAGTGTTGGCACTCCGAGAAGATTGGCGCCGATATTGTGGGCTGGCGTTTGCAATGCCACAAACTTGCGTATGCAAAGGGGGATTGCAATCGAATTCATTGAATTCGATTTAAAAGCGAAATGAAAACGAGACTGACGAATCGAAGGGGGAGGGGAAAGGGATGCGGGGGCGTTGGAAATGCCTCTGTGGGCGTGGCGCACATAGTTGATACGCCCAAAGGCATGCGAGGAATGCGCCTCAAAAGGCGAAAAAAAAGTACAGAACAAAAAAATAAGTGAAACAATAAAGCGCAATGCGAACCAGAAAAGGGGGGTCCAACAGCATATTTAACGGCACTTTTGCGGTTATCAGGGGGCGGCAAAGAGTTGGGGGCGTGGCTGAAAAGGGACCAACAACAAAAAAAAAAAAAGAAGGAAAAACGCAAAGGGAGTCATTTGTTTGGTTGCGTGTTTATTGACGATGATTTCATTGTGTTCTTATAATTCGATTGCACACTTAAAGGCTATTTACAGGACTCGGTTGCCTACGCTTAAGTTAATTTCCCACTCGATATTTTCCCGTGACATTTATTACAATTATACATACATTACATTGATTTCTTTTTTTTAGTTGTAAATTCTCACGTGCATTTCAGTTGCTTAGAGCTACAAAAACGGGTAACAAAACAGCGCAGAAAAAACAAATGCAATCAAAACCGGAAACAAGGGAAAATTCACCGCGTCGCCGCCATTTTGTAGCGCGTCGACTTCCGTGCGCCATATTGAAATGTCAGCGGTGTGAAGAGTCGCACTGCGGTCATCGTCATCACAATTGCCACCAAAAGCACCTGCTGCACTTGTGCACTCCGAGTGGCAACTGAAACGGGAAAAGGCAGAGATAGATAGATATACATAGTAGGTATATGTGCAGGGAGAAGGAAAAGGAGGGGAAACCCCCGGTCAGAGGTCGCACTTTTATTAATTTGCGTTAAAAATTGTCCAAATAGCGAGACCGCGACCGGACTGTCACTCCGCGTCGAAACGTATTTATTTTTAATTAGCGGCCGCTGACATTGCGGTCAAGTGCATTAAAAGCAACGACGGCAAAGACACTTTAAACGCTAAATACGGACAGTCCAAATGCGTAGGTCATTAAGTTCCAATTTTGAGTAAAAAATACATATCTTTCGAGCATTCAATACGGGGAAAAGCTCTTTTGAAAATTAGTTTAAGCAATATTTGAATTTAAATGTATATTTTATGTGTTGATAATAAAACCAATTTTAAATTTTTTTTTTTTTTTAATATATCAACAGGACAACCATTTAATATACATGCATACTGGTTTTTCTTTTAATGGATTCTGTAACTAAATCCATTTTTGAACGACTTAGTTCTCATCTTAGTAAAGGGTAATTTTTACAGTTATGATATAGCTTACCTGATCTGGAGTTGATCAGCTTCTGATTCTTCTGATCAATTTCATCCCGGAAGAGCTGGGCAAACATGCTCACATCGCGTTGCAAATGGGGAAACCGATCGACTTCTGCCACACAACGCAATTCAAGACCAAGTCGAGCAGGTGAGATTGTCCGCTTTTGCTGGATTAGTTTTTGCAACTGGAGTTGGTGAAAGCGTGGTTCGTTGGCATAGAAATTTAGCTGGGAAATGATTCGACGCATGCTGTATTCATGGGCCACAATTGTGGTCTCGATACTAGGCACTAATTCAAGTGGGGAAACCTTCAAGAGGTTATATATTAATTGTTTTGAAGAGATAAAGTTTTGTGTTATCCTTACCTTTACCCCATTGATATACCAGGAGATTCTAGTAAAGAGGCTGGAAAAGTCGGTGCTGCAATTAACTTGAACATAGTCATCAAAGCGGTAAGTTGAGTGAAAGCTGCTGATGAGTGGATTATTTTGGGGAAGAGCTAAAAAATATGAGAATAAATTTAATAATAACAAAAACATATCACTCATAAATTAATATAATATATTAATGATAAAAATACATCATCAATTTCACGATAATACGTTTTATAATGCTAATGCAATTCCACCTATCCATCAAATATTTGTTTTCGTCTCTAACTAGTTGGAATAACGTTAAGTTACTCTACGAGAAGCATCCTTAAAGTGAAAGGAGCCCACTCAGATATGCGTGCGAGTGTGAGACAGATGACTTTCTCCCCGGCTGAGTGCATCTCAGCTCTTCAGTTACGTCCTTAGCTAATTTTAAACGCACATTACACATGCAAATGGCGCACCTTTTCTGTGCTAGAATTTTTGCTGCTTTTTTTTCTGCTGTTTCTGCCTCCGTTTGTTTTGCCCAAGTTCTCTATTTGCTTTTGATAAATTTTTAAAAATATTTTAGCAACAGCAGCAGCAGCAGTAGTAGCAGCAGTGCCGGGGAAAAAGCAGCAGAGCTTGAGGCATGACCGCCCCGCATCTACAAGATATTTATTTTATATCAGCGGAAAAATAGATGATCATAAAACACATGCAGAGAAACATCCTGTGGGGCAAAAGTAAAAGCGAAAATGGGAGGAAGGCGAAACGCACACGCTGCGCGGGAAATGACGGCAGCGGCAGAGGCTGAGGCAGTGGCAGAGGCGGTGGAAAAGCAGAAAAGCGGAGGCACTGGCGGAGCTTTTCATTTTAGCGATATCCTTTTTAAGCATAAAGTGCTGCCGTAAATCACAGACTCGCACACACATACAACTGCAAGTAGCAGCAGCAGGAAGGGTGCTCCGTTTGTATGTGTGTGTGAGTGTGTGGGTGTATGTGTGTATGTGTATGGGTGTACGGATGCGAATCACATGCATCTCTTGGTTACATTTTATGAACGCGCACTGTTCCTCTCGCGAGCACATCCTGGACGGCTGGCTGCCTCGCTTTCTGCTGCCTTCACAGCTTATCCTGTGCGTGTGCAGCACCACCTAGCTGCCACCCCCACCCACCATTACCCACTGGGAACCACCCAACCACCCAACCACCCACTGTTGCAGTGCAGAGGCAGCCACTTTGCCAGCTCGTCATATATACAAACGGCCCTGCATGTTTCTTGCAGTTTTCTTCCCCCGTTGTTTACTATTAAAATATCACGGAAATTACACATTTTACTCTGTTTATGCTGTGCAGCAGCAAAAGGAAGCGCGGTGGGAATACGCAAAAGGATAAATACACCTATACACTGAACCTAAAATAATATACCTAAAATGTACTAAGATTGTGTAGAGGTTTTAACAATTTTGTTATTTAAATATCATATAAGTTCGATACAAATATAAGAAAGTAAATCAAAGAAATTAAAATAAAGAAAAGGGTTAAGTTAATTAAAAGTTTTATACAGAATGACATGATTATGTAGAAAAACTAAATTCGTATTTTTTGAAATAGCAAAGAGTACAAATAAGATCGTTATTTTTTTGCGTCATTTATATATTTTCAAGACTATTTTTTTAAGTGTCTCTACGTTCTCCTGCATTTGCATCACGCTCCCGCAGATAGTTTTTGAGCACGTGCTTGTTGTTGCCAATGGTGCTGGGTTTGCCTTACCCACTGGCCCACTCTCGTTAATTTAAGACTAACAATTGGAATTGCATTTCATTACTCAAGCACCCTGCTCACTTGCAGTTCCCCTACCCTTTTTTCTTACCACTTCCCTTTTTCCTTCCCCTTTCCCTTTTCCACTCCCCTTGACAGACTCACCTTCGACGGTCATGTTGGCATCGCGTGCAGTTAGCTGAAAGTGAGGCGCATCGCCGGACACTTCGCACCTGTAGACGCCCGACGACTTGACGCCCAATAAATTGAGTTCCACGCGACAGGAGGATTCGTTGCACTCGTTTCCCTCATCGATCAGCTGCACGCCCTCCACGGCAAAAGGTATGTAGGTGGGCGGGGTGAGGGGGGAGTACCTGCAAGGATTGGGTGATTAATACACATAATATATGGTGGCAGAGATGCCCGAAACAGCTGGAACTAGAATTGAAATTTGAATAAAATATGTTGATAATATAAAACTTAATATAAATACCCTCAAAAATTCCTTTGACTTTAATAATTAGGTATCCTTGTAAAATATATTCTTTATTTTTTCTTATTTATCTCAGAGCTAAGAGTTAATATATAATTTCTTTGAAAGCCTTATTATCCTATTTCACCCGCTTAAAATTAGTCGTGCTCAACTAAAAAATAGCCATGCTGACAACACTTTATAGTGTCATTCGAGATGAGCTGGCAAAGTGGCCGCAAATTGCAAAAGGGACTCCACTCCCCTCTCCTCCCCCTTTCAACTGCCCTTCTCCCCTCCCTTCGAAAACCAACTGATAATCTACAGATGTGTGTCGTAGGCTTGGGTTAAAAGCTTTCAAAGCCATCAACGCAAACCGGCCAGGAAATGGAGGAATCGTTTCTCTTTTTCGCCACTCGCAGACAAGTGGCTTACATGCACTCAACCTTAACTGATTGCCAATGTGGGTTCGACGTGTGGAAAACTGGAAATGGGGCGTCCGTTCGACGAATTGCTGGAAAAGGGGGAAAAGTGCCGGGGAACTGAGAGCCGAGGGCAGCCCTTTAATTTGTTTTGTATTGTGGATTGATGCTCATTAATCCCGCAAATGCCTCAAAACATGTAAAAAGCGGAATCCACAACAAAAAGTGTTCAAGTGGAAAACTTGTCCGGCACACACAGCCAAACACTCGCACACACAAACAGTGGCCAAGTGGCTTTCGCCCCCACACTAAAAAAACCACATAAATAAAATCCTGGCTAAGGCAAAAAAATCGTTGCCTACTTTTGTGCGCTGTGGTAGTGTTGATAAGTCGCCTTCGAGCGCTACTTGTTAATAGCCATGATAGAAAAGAGGGCGTCCAGGGATAAAGGGGGCAGGGGGAGGGGGCGGTGCAGAAGTCCTCGGCCCGATTTCGCATTATTTGCCGCTTAGGCGGCAACTGCGGCAGCAAATCAACAAATTTGATAAGCAATATAAACGGCAACCGCCGACGACCGATGCTCGTTACAAGGGGATTTGTTTGGGACAGAAGCAGAATAATGCTTGAGTTTCTGCCTTTGGCTTTTGTGTTGGATCCCACACACAAAAAAGGCAAACTAAAGTACACATTAAATTAATTTTACTGAAGAATAGAAAGAAACGTTTGTCTTCTGATCCTTAAAGAAAGATATAAATTGACAACAATCCCTATGTTTTGACATTACCTTAATAAATGAATAATACTCTTAAAGGGATTAAAGTGCAAAAGTAAAGCTAAATGCTTCAAATCATTTTACTTTTACAAAATGGCCTGTCCTGACCAGTTAGTACAAATACCTGTGACAAATTTTGTCAAAAAAATGCTTATGCATTTCGTAACAAATATTTTATTACGAATGTTATATGAATACAATATTTAAAAAGTTGATGCAAAAGCCTTGAACTGTGAGCCATTGGCAATTAGTTGCCTTAAAACTCAAAGAAAAGAAAAATGTTGCAAGTTATTTGTGAACTTCTGGTGCTCGTTTTGTTGCACCAGTGTTTGCCTTAATTTGCATTCGGCTGGCAAGTGCAAGTGGAATTGCAATTTGCCTCGAGTTGACTTTTACGTGCTACTGTCTAATTAAAACTTTCGCCCGCCCCATGGGAATATCGCTAACTGTCTCGTTCCCTTTTTATTTTTTTGTTTTTTGTTTTTTTTTTCATTTCAGGCAGCTTTTCTCGCAGATTTTCTCTGTGCGGAGGAGTTCATACATGTGTGTGAGTTTCGCCCTAGTCATTTTTAATTAAGCAAAACGCTCTACAGGCACAGTGGATTTTTAGTTTTCGCATTCTAGTCAAGAGTGCGAGAAAGCTGGCCATAATAAAGTGCCATCTTGGGTCAAATGGCCTTTTAATCATCATATTTGGCAAGGCGAGCCAAAATATGTGCTCTTTTGGGCAATTAATTTGTTGTGTGGTCCGCTGCAAACGATGTGTGCATAAATAATAAAGGCCGCTTAACGGCCAACTTGTTTGAGGGAACGGCGAAGGGCTCGAAGCTTTCGTTTTGGCCAAACATTTAAATTAATTTGCCAACACAAATTAATTTATTTAATAATTAATTGACCAAGTAAGTCGGCCGACAATGAACATATTTGTGGGTACATATGTGCGTATTTCGTCCTCACAGAGAAAAGCACTCGAGGGGTCAGAGGTCACGGGGACCATGGCCCAGATTCCCGTGCAACTGACAGCTGCGTGTTGAAATAAATATCATAAATTATGGACATGAATAGTCCGTCTCGAAACTACCAGGTACAGCTATCATATTATTCGTTTAATAATCAAATACATTATTGTTGCTTAATGACGTTTCGGTGTTGAATTTCCGAATTCAATGGTTTTCTAATTAGTTTGTATTATTTGCCTATTCAATTAAATTAATGTTTTAATTATTATTTACCTATTGGTTGGTAACTTCTATAGATATTGAAGAGTAGATTATAATTTTATTGATTATATTTTAACATTTAATGAAATTTATCTGCTGCCTAAGGTTTCGCTTACAAAACTGCATTCGATTCTCTTAAATTGCTTTGCATTGTTTAATCCGAGCTTTGTTAGGTAATCGTTGTTATAATATTTATTACATAACACGCCGAGTGGTTACTTAAAAAAATATATATTTCATGGGCTTTATTCGTACTTACCTAAAAAACTCCTTTCCGTTTTTGTACCACTTAACCGAATTTAACGTGTGACCACTTATGTCATAGCTGCAGGATAATGTCACGTTATCACGAAAATCAACAATTTGTGGCACATTGATGTCAGTCACACGTAGACACTGAATGCGCCGCACAACTGCCAGGGTGGAAATGTTGGGGATTTTCCGGGGACGAGACGAGCAGAGCAGAGGGGCGAATGTTAGTCCCATGCAGCGAGATGAAAAACGTCAGATAAAATGATGAGAAATGCCATAAAAATGGTGAATAAAAAAGAATAAATACGAAAAGCTGGCAACGAAATGAAAATGTTTTGCATTCGTCTGCTTTAAATTGAAGCATTAAACCAGTCCCACAGAATCTAGATTCCTTGTCAGAGATTGTGTGGTAATAAAAAATTATCATTTGATTATTTTCCGAACGCAGGGGTTGAAACTTGTTCTCCAGCAGAAAAAACTTTGCAAATTTTAGGGGATAACTTAGAAGACAATTTCGTTCCCACAACAAATTAAAGTTTTGATTTTCGTCTTATGGTGTAGAATGTTTTTAAGCCACTGTTATTATATTATTTTTGGCTAATTAAAAAATGTTAAAAATGTTAAAAATTGCTGAAATTGAGAAAGACCAGATGAAAATATATTAATGTTCTTAGTTTTTTTTTTATTTTAAAAACCATATTTAAAATATGTAGTTTTCTATCTTCTTCAAAATAATTTTTTTTTATTTTTTCCTATTGGTTTTATATAGTCAATTTTGTTTACCAAATTCCACTTCAGAATTATTTACAATTTCCTTCCGCTCGTTCTTTGCACCATTCATTGTTGCAAATTGAGAAACACGCTTAATCGCTGCTCTGCATTTTAAGCTTATCAAAAGTAAAATGGAAATGGTACGAATTAAAGCATTTTGTGGGGGCGGGGAAAAACGAACAAGAGCAACCGACGCACAACTCCTAATTGAATGAACTTGTAGAAATGCTGAGCACTAAAACTCAGACAGAGTTTTCGCAGCAACAAAAACACACTAAACGCTGCCACCGACAACAATAGCAACAACAGCAACAAACCGCGTGCTGGTTTTTACAATTTGCAGAACGCTTTTAAGTGCAAACAGACAGGGCGAGAGTAAAAGGGGTGGGGTGAAAAAAAGAGGGAAAAATGCCGGAAAAAATGGTTAATATCATTAGCTGCAATGGGTTTTTGTTGCTACCGCTGCTGCTGCTGCTTTTGCCTCGGTGTTTTCCTCGCTCCTTATATTTGCGCTAAATGCCGAAGTTGCTGCCGGGTAGAATTTCCATAATCTTGGCCCTGTCAGTTGCTGCAGTTGAAGATGCAATTGCAAGTGGAGCACACTGCCGCATGATAAGCAAGAAATCCGCGAGACGTCGCCAAGTGGAAGCCAACAACTTGTGCATAATTTTCGCAAATCGCATTAGGTAACAGCAGCAACAGCACCAGCGAAAGAATCACCAGCAACAGCAACACCACCAAAAACACGAGCAACATCAACAGCAGCAGCAACAGCAGCAGCAACAACAGCTGTTGCAGCAACAGTTGCAACTGCAACACTCGTGAATTTAATTTGTCGCAGTTTACAGTTGAAATAACTTGCAAGGATGTCAAAAGTTGCGATTGCCGAAGGCACCACCACGAGCAGAGTATTTATTTTCGGCTTGTTCAAGTTTGGCGTCCTGCGAGGAGAATCCCTTTGAGTTGGTGTAACATCTGGAAAATGGGAAAAACGGGGCGCTGGCAGACAGGCAGGCAAACTTGTTTAAACTTTCAATAGACAAACATGGCAAAAGTGCCTGCCTGATTCTGTTTCTGATTCTGATTCCTGGTTCTGGTCCTGATTCCGATTGTGATTCGGAATCCTATCCTGACATGAGTCCTTTGAAGCATGTCAAAGCAGCCGACGAACAACAACAGGAGCAGGAGCCGGAGCAGTAGCAGGAGCAACATCGAGGAGCAACAGCAGCAACAAGGACGACAATGGCAAACACATTTGCAAATGGCAGCGGCAACCGCAGCTTAATGACAGCCGTAGAGGAAAAGTAAATGGAAAACTTCACCTGCGCGACTAAAAGACAGGACACAACTGTTGTTTGCGGTTGTGTGTGCGTGTACGTGTAGGTGTGTGTGTGTGTACGGTGTGTAAGTGTGCCTTGGCTGCTTGCTTGTATATGTAAATAATAAAAATAAGTACATCAAATGCAGACAAACGAAACTTTTTGCACGGCAATCAACGCACTTGAGTGAACTTTGCTGCCTAACAACCAGAGCCACGAGAAGATCCCACGGCTCAGACTGAGGATGAAACCGAGTCGATGGAGGGCCAACACAACACAAGACAGCACATCAATTTGTTGTTGCTTCTGTGCACTCTTCAAAAATGCTTTCACAAATTGTATTCTATAATGTTATTTATCAGCTATATAACAATGTTTTAATAGGTAATAAACAAAATCAATTGCAGCGGAAATTTAAACGGTAATGAATAATACCAATTCTTATTTGTTTGCTTTCCTAAACAATTTGTATATGGGATTTCGATTTTAGCAAATGTAAATAATTGTTTCAATTTTCCTCTATACATTCCGAAATAAATGGGTTTTTAAGAGCCACATGACCCAAATAAAATTGGGTTAAAATCATTGATAGAGCAACTTTAAAATTTGTAGCAAACCCTTGTTGTTTATGTACCTAAGGTTTATTGTGAAAGGAAAATTAATTTAGTGAAATTCAGATATGATTTTGCCTAGTGTAGTTTCCTATTCTGATTGTCTGGCGCAGCTGTTCGCTTGTGGAACCCACGAAGCTCCGCAAACAAAGAAGACATCTCAGCCAGTTCTAATGAAAGTCAAGGGCCAAAAGCAGTTCAATAAGCTCTTCTGCTCCGTCGGCTGCTGAGACTGCTTTAATAGGGGAGACCCAGGATCCCAGGAATAGTTTGGGGAAACACGAAATGTATTTTGACTATATTTCTTCGACTGAGATCAAATCCGCTTTAAGCATTTGCCGCCGAGCGAACGATAAACGCTCGAACAGACAAATCTGCAGTAAACCGAGGGAAAAGTAAGCAGCCCAAGGAGCCGGAAAAGCGAGGGGGAAAATCGGAGGGGCCAAGCGTCTATAATTTGCATACAAATGCGGGGCCAACAACGGCAAGTGGGACATTGGATTCTGGGTTCTTGGTGCCACCAGTTTGGCTCGAGGTGGGAGTTTGTTTTAGTTTGGCTCTGGCCTCTGCTGCGGCAAACAAACACAAATAAAGATGCTAATCTCAGCAAAGCGCAGTGGCTTCAAAAAAAAGAGAAGAAAAAATACCAAAAAAAAAAAACAAGTGGAAAATCGAGCAGCTAAACGAGCAACACGAGCTGGCCAAGTTGGGCGGAAAAAGCTTGGCCAGAAACCACGCTCGAGATTTCTCAGCTGCTGATGCGTGGCTCCGTTGTTTTTGGCTTGTGTTTTCCTGTTTCCCCTGATTTCCCTGTTTTTGTACACAAATCCCATTTGGTATGCAGCTGCAAATGCGTGAAAGTTTAAACTTGATTTGAGTGAGACTCCCAGCCTCGGCTGCAACTTCAGCTTCAACTGCTGAATTGGCAAGCGGCTTTGTCAGATTCTTGGCCACATAACATGCGAGTCTCCCACTGAATTTTGCGGGTTGCCGGGCGAAAGGGAAGTGTAATTTTTGTGTGCAAACATGGCAGAGACATCGCATCGTTTGCTCAGCCTTCGGGGAGAATGGAAAAAGGAAACGCACACTTACTAAAATTGAAGACACTTATAAAATCGGCAATTTGTTTAAATAAACTTTATGGCACTCGGGGCCGGGTGAGCAGAGAGTCGACTCGACTCCATTGCCGCTGTTGTAGCCAAATATTTATTTTGTAGCAGCCAGCCACTGTTTGCAGTGAATTTTAAGAGCGTCTATAAATTTTAGAAAAGTGCAAATAAAATATAGCGAGCGAGTGTCTCTCATCGTTGCCACAGTTTTTAGATGGTGGTGGGGTAAATCCTTTAAGGCGTACTCCGGTTTGAAATTGTCGCATTTATGTTTGGTTTATGCAAATGTCCTGCCATCGGAGCCGAGTGTCGTGGCATTTGTCAATGTCTGTGTCTATGTCCTTGTCCTTGCTATTTGAGGTTCCTCAAACAATGCATAAACTCGTTAAAGAGGACGCTCCGCAAACTGTGCACATCGTTTCACATTTGTTTGGCATTCTTTTTGGGTAATGAATATGCTTTGCATATTGCAAATTTGAATAAACAAAAATTGTTAAACAAATTTGAGAGGCGAATAAAAGCGCCCGATTCAATTGAAATTTAATCTAAACGAGGTCAGAAAAATGGCGCTTGAAATAAATTCCACCAAATCGAAATGGTTGACAGTACCCATATTTAGTTTGGGAGATATTAAATAACGCTTTATGGTTATGGAGAGTTTTTAAATTGATTTAATTTAGTTTAGTTTGCTCAGCTAATCCGGCTTAAATTCTATATATTTTTTTATTTACATATTCCCATGGATTTTTATTTAACAGATACTGCTACTGTATTTTTAATTTTTGACTCTCTAAAAGTTTAACTCGAAATTCTTTTTGCACAATATTGCTCATCCGCCGTGTTGCCTGAGCAGAAAAAGAAAGTGGCCGCAGTGAAAAAGAAAAAACCCCGCTTATCTGAGGCAGACACATTAAAGCTAATTGAAATTATTATTTTTATTCCGATGCCAAGTTGGGACGGTCTCGGTTCATTTTGCCTTTCATTGGGCCATAATTAAAAGTGTATTTAAAAAACAATTTCGGTGGCATAAAATTAACATAAATTGATGCGGTCGAGGTCGGGTCAAAACAGAGAGAGAGAGAGTGTATTGGCCGGGTTGAAAGGCGGCGACACCCAAACAAACACATTTATTGCTATGCTAATTTCGTGTTCGGGTCACACGGAGGCCAACTGCACAAAAGCGTCGACCGGAAACGGAAATGCCTAAATGACTAAAGTCATAGTGTTAGTGTTTGTGTGAATGTGAGTGTCGGTGTGTGTGTGTGTATGTGTGCGGGAGCCACAAAGTTGCCGACATCGTGGACTTTGTCGTAAAAAGGTTTGCGGCGGCTTGCCAAAGGATTAAAAGCAAAAGGCAATAAAATGAAAAGTTTCAAATATTTTCATTATTACGACCGAGGGCGAGAAGGAGAAGGAGGCTCTCTCTCTCTTTCTCTATCCTGTGGGTTGGACTTTAACTTACCCAGCAGCATGTGCACGCCCAGCTGCAGCAGCCAGCGGCCAAGGTCCATTGTGGGCAGTTGCCTTTAAAGTCCCCAGCTGATTTTGATCCTGCTCCCCGGCCGCATGGAACAATATCGGTGTGGACTTTGGACGCCAAAAGGACGAAGCGGGCGGCAAACTTTGCTCTTTTTTTGGCCAAACTCAATGGCCGGCCATATTTTCTATTAGTCCAAACTTTCGAGGGGGACCCAAAAACTTTTTCTGCTCTACGCGCCGCCTCTCATGATTACATCGTCCTCTATCTACATAGATATAGTTTCGATATCGATAAATGCCATTGACAGGTCAGCGGGCCAATGAGCTAGAAAAATAAATGGAGAATCCTTGTTAGCAAAAGGAAACGTTTGCAGTGCTTTTTTGTTTTAAGGTTATTAAATTTGAAAAGTTTTTTGGCGTCAAAGCACAAACAACATTCATCGTCGAACCTCTGTGCACATAGAGAAAATAAATTGAAGACTAGTAAGGAAATGAATCTGTTTACCAGTAATACAAAACTTACTCAAACATTCCTCTATCAGTGGAAAAATTGTATTTATAAAAAATGAATTTCCATATACGCTTTATTTTATAAATTCAATATTTTTTATACTTTTCATATTTTTTTCCAGTGTAAATCTATATTTCTATCTCTCACCCGCACATGTCTGACTTTTGTAAAGTTTCGGTTTGGCTTTTTTATTAAACTTTTTCGCTTTCATTCCTTTTGGCCACTGCATTTGTTTATTGTCATTGTCAGCGTTATTTAAACGTTGACAGTTTCAAAAATTCACCGAGCTCCGACAACAGGAAAGGCAGCAAAAGAAAAAAAAACGAAAAAATTTGAAAATATAGCAGACAACTTTGTCTGCCTCGGAAGCCAAAAATTCCCATAGCTGGCCGAGGTCCAGGCGGAATCTCAAAGTCTGGGCAACAGACATCCTGACCTCCGCAGGACGCTCCGGGCTTTGTGGCACAAAGTCCTTTAATGCTCTAATCAAATTGTGGCTTCTTTTTTGTGGGCTTCCCCTCGTTAATGTTGTTGTTATTGTTGCTGATGCTGTCCTCATTGTTTTGGTTTCATTGACGCGTTTATTAAAATTACCGTGGCGAAGTTTTTCCTGCGGAACGGCACTTTATTTTTAAAAATCAGACAGACAGACGAACAGAAGACCCGTGGAGGTGCGATGTTTGCTTGTTACTAAAAATATTCGGAGGGTTTTGCAGGATACCGGGGAGTCTGAATGAACAAATTACAATTGTGATTGAGGCAGACAGGAAAACAGAAATGGCTAAAGGAAGGAAGCAAGGAACAACTGCAAAGTGTATCCGGTAAATATTTGATTATTACGGCTATATTAAAATCAATTCAAAAATAACTGGGCCATGGATGGCCATTTTGGGAATAATTAATTTTAGAAGCTGGCGGAACGAAAGCTAAGGTAAAGTGGGATAATTATAGTTCATGTGCCACTACTTTAATTCTGTGCAAAAATAAATAAATGGAGAAATGAAAGTATAAATACTTTAAGAAATGAAACAAAACCCATTTTAGTGATTTATATCAAGTTTACAAATTTGATAAAGATTTACTAGATGGTATCAATTTAAATTGTATGGAAATGAAAGAGAAAATAATAAAATCCATACGGTAAAAGCCTTCATAAATTCATGGTTATTATTTAAAGCTTTGTGTTCGTTTTAATTAAAGCTGTAATTTGTTATCTCCAGTTTTTAGCTCAGTAAGCAAACCGAAACGTTGTCAAATCAAAAATCGAAGAGGCATTGTTCTATCTTTGTGAGACTTGAATACTTGTTAATTGAATTATTCCTATGCAATTCGCATTGCTGATTGACGTGATCTAGAAGAGCAATAGATGCCAGGACATAAAAATATTTGGACAGAAATATGACTTGCAATTCCCCAGGCCAGGAATGCCACTCAAACATGTACATGTCAGATAACGAAATCAAATAAAGGACCATGGCAAATGCTAAAAATTCTTTCAACATGCTGGAGACAATTCAAATCGAAATGATTTGAATCGAATTGATTGTTGCAAAGGCAACTTCGCTTATGCAATTAGACAAATGCTTTGTGCTTGCAACTTGCTGCTGCTGAAACACAAGCACTTTTCCCCGAGGCTCTTCTGTCTTTCAATTATTTTGAAAATATCAAATTAATGGCAATATCGGCTGGCACTTGACGTTTTCATTTCCACTTCGATTTCCATTCCGATTTCGACTTCCATTGGCAGTTGCAGTTGTTTGGCATATCAATTTGCTCTCAATTTGTTGTGCATTAACATGGCGTATACGCAACATGTTTCCCATCGACGGAGACAATGTCAAGCACTCACACACAGACACTAACATCCGCATGACCCTAAATGGAACACACACACACACACGTACGAGAGCGAAATAGTGACTTAAACAGCTCTGCTTGAAGCTGAGTTAATTACTTAATGGCAATGTAATGTATACACATACATAATTAACAAACATTTCATTGACTGGCTTAAATGACACACATGCACACACACACACACACACGTGACCTCTCTCTCTCACACATATGCATACCCCTCTCCTTCTCTACTAAAATCTACACATGACTTGTGAAATATTTATGAGCTTTTCAGCCTGCCACTGCAGTTGCATTTGCTGTATGAACATATACCTCGATTTGCATAAATCCATAATTTCACTGCATGTGTGTGGTAATTTTCGTATTTTTGTTTGTTTGTTTTTTCTATATTGAAGTACTCTAGTTTATAGTTTTCGGGCTTCAGTTCGATGTGTTTGTTTGTTGACGCCGATTGACAACAACAGCTGAACCGTACCGCTCCGCTCGGCAGCCTTTTCCCTTCGTACCGCTCCGCACCAAAGTTGCCGTTAAACTGACTCCGGCCTGCGGATTTCGGTCTCGGGATTCCGCCGCGGATTCTGAGCAACTCTTTGATGCCATGGACATACTTTCGCAGGTCCTCCGATGCTCCAGCTTCGTTTTTGATCGGAAAGTTCACAGAGAATTGCAAAACTGCAAGAGAAACGGGATATTCGGGTTTTTTAAGGAGAGAGAGAGGTGTTGCTTATATCTTTGGGCGCGGTATTTCTCTTCGATTGTCTCTTGCTCCTGTTCGTCCTTAAAATTTTTGGGATGCTGTTAATGTTATATTTGTGGTTTTGTGGGGACTGTTAATGGAAGCTAACAGAGTGGAGACTTTTAAACAACTGTAATCAAGCAGTAACATAAAATGTTACTAGTAGCAGCGTGCCGAAAATGTAAATCAAATGTTAATAATGTTAAAATAAATGTAAAATATTTTGCATTACTTGTTGTTGAAGCTTAAGGTTAGATGATATTAAACTTTGGCAGGTATTTGCCGTTATTTTTTATAACAGTTTTAAACCTGTTTTCTCGGCCAGATTTTTAGGCAAGTCCTTACAAAATGTTTTAAATAAAAAGCCTTTTTTATCGATGCTCGTTGAACCTGTTTTAAAAGTATACAAAATATCTTACCTGCTTTCTAGCCACGAAAATATTTTAGACAACTCCCACTCTTACCCTAATCCCTAGCTGCTTAGTACTGCATTAACCCGCGACGGCCTTGTGCAGCGAAGTAGACAATTGGAAACAACATTTTCCACCCACTTCCACTGCCGGCGATGCGGCGGCCAAATCCTATTAGCCACATGCCAGTCTTTGTCGCTGTTGGCCGCATTTTGGCCAGCAGACATGGCGGAATGCACCCCGTATCCTGCAGGTTTAAGCCGCAGCTGCAGTCGCAGCTCCGTTCGAAAAAGAAATGGAATTTCGCCGGCAAGCCGCTTACTTTCTTATCGATTTCATTTGTTGTGCTTGTAAAAAGGGCAGGCGGCAGGAACAAATGGCAAATGGCTGCAGTTATCAGTCACTTGCAGAGTTGCAGCTGCTGCTCTTGGCAAGGCCAAATCTGGGTTATCTCGTCCTGTTCCTGATTCTCCAGCTGGAGCTGAAGCCCCTGCAGCTGTCAACCCGGTTGATGTTAATGTTGTGGTTTGTTGCAGTCCTGTCATTCCGATGCAACACACAATGACTTTGTATTAGAAACTTAAAAAGAGTTGAAGGTTTTATTACCATCTCTAGCACTATGAGAAATAGGTTTAAAAAATAAATTTAAGCTTGGTCAACAAGTTCATTCATATATCCTTTCAGAAAATATAACTGAAAAAGTCCATTATGTAATCGAGTTTTCCTTAATGGCTTGCCAGTTAATGGTTAATTCAAATTGTGTTAAAAATAAATTCAACTCAAATCAATTCAAATGCATTTTCCACTCTGCTCGTCTGGCAATAATTAATTTCTGTAAATTGACGTCACCGTCACCGGGTAGCTTGTTAAAAATCAATAAAGCTTATGGGCTTAATGAGCTCAATGGGCGCGCTAGGTTCCAGTGCCACGCCCTCGCCATTTGGACGCATTAAGCTGATTTAATATTCAAGTTTTTATCGAATATATTTCGCACACTTTGCCACCAACTTACATCGCCACAAACTGAAAACGTTCCAGCATATTTATTTAATTTCAGGCATTAATGTCGCCTGTCCACTCCAGGGATTTGTACTAGGTTACGAGGTGGGATCGAAAACTATTTGGTTCAATGGTGTTTCTTTTATTATTTGTTGTTTATTTATATATTTAAGCAATTTTCTTTTTAACACATGTATATTATTTGGCCCTGGAATGTATATTATTTAACCCATGAATGTTGCGCACTTAAAGGCCTGAAAAATTGATTAAAGTTTGGACCGAAAACTATGCCGATGCAATGGCAAATGTATAACCACAGCGATTTCCCCCCGGTCAAAGGCCATTCTCGAATTTTGCCGCTTTTGTTCGCCGGCGACGCTCTTGCGGTAAAGTTTTTATTTTGTCTCGTTTGTTGTTTTTTTTTTGTTTTTTTGCTGGCAATAGCTGCATATCCGTAGATGGCACGTGAGTTTTTCGTACCGAGCGCATGACCAAGGGACTAATGGCACTCTCACACACTCGCACACTTGTCACGTGTTTAGACTACAACAAATATGCTAAAAATGTTATGCCAAAAGCCATGCAGGCGATGGAAAAAGGGAGCAGGGCATTTGGATTTTGCATTTTACAGCTCCCGAAGGCAGCGCAGCTGCTAAACTTGGCGCCGTTTGTTGCCATTTGCGAAAATGCGCGCGAGTATTTTAAAAATGCATTCTCCCACCTTGCGGCAACCGAATAGAACCCATTCCACCCCTTCCTGTACCAAACCACACCACTCCATTCCACCCATCACGTTCTGGCCAAGTTAACCGAGCTAAAGCAGGAGCCACTATGGTGAAGCTTATGGCCATATGATACTGAGCGGAATTTAACTTGAGAATTTTAAACAGATATCCAATATGCGCATAATTTAAATTTGTACTTTTTTACAACATGAATAAAATACTTAAAAATTTCTTTGCTTAAAAACATAGATGTTTGGTTTTGAATTTAATATTATTTTTATGATTGTGTGATATTGTGAACCGCATAATAAATATGAAGGACATTTGAATGGGGCATTTTAAATATGGTGTATGTATTAAAACTTGGTTTATATGATTTCCAAGTTCGTTACATTTATTTCCCACCAATTTATTTTGCACTTGTCGAATACCGTGTCATCGTGCCATAAGGTTTAGCTAAAGGTCTGCCATATTGGTATGTGGTGTCATCTCGGTTCCCGGCGGGTTAATAGCGTTGCAGCAGACGTGTCGTGTAGGTGGTCCCAACATGGCCAAGAACTGCCCACTTCCACCGCGCTGGATAAACTTCAAACATGATCGGGCAAAATTTACATTGAGCCAAAGTTTTTGGCGGATCTGCGGTGCGGGTTGGCTAAAAGTTCTTGGCTCTTGATTTTTCATGAACTGCCATCGTCTGGCGCTCGGCGGCTCATTATACAGATGAGGGTTCTTCGAGGGGTGAGAGGAAAAAGAGGAATGGGAGTGGTAGTGGCTGTTGGGCACTTGGCAAGACGCTCGCCACATTCCTAGGCAAATACTCGTAAATAAGCAGCCGCTGTGGCAACAATAATGCTACTGTTGTCGCTGCGCCCAGAAGTATGCAGCGAAATGCGAAATGCGAGAAAAGCGAAGGAGCAAAGGAGCCGCGGCAAGTTTATTAAAAATCTGAGTTTTACCCGCCCTTCACCCACGGCCTCTGGTGTATTATTATTGTTTTCCTTTTTGGCCTTCTTGCGCCTGTTTTATTTCATTGTTGTTGGTTTTTTTAGTTTTTTTTTGAGGTTTTTCGACGTTGGTTTGTTTTAATACTCTGATTTACACAGAATGGTGTATTACAACGTTAAATATTTCTGTAAAGATTGGTAAATACTGCTTTTCATTGAATTGATTCCCTTAAACTAAGCTGTGAGATATAAGTGCATATACAATAAATCATACTGAATGAATATTTCTCTTATATTATATTTTGAATGTTGCGTACCATTAATTAAGTGCTTGGAAACAACTCAGTTTACATTTTTCTTATGAAGAAAAAAAACGAGCAAGTAGTTGTTACATAACAATATTAGAAATATTTAAATTTCTTCAAATTTTAAAAACTTCAAAAATTGAAAAAGCCATTGAAATTGATTCTTGATAAAGGGTATTTTAGAATTCGGCTGCGAAGCCTAAAGTTGTTGTTTATTTTTTTTTTAGCGTACCACTTGGCCGGGCTAGCGCTACATGCACTTGAGTTTCATTTGCTTGTTCTCCAGAATGGCCCCCTTTGGCGCCCTCCTTTTGTCCTTCGCGCCCCCTCGCAATGTCAGAGAGTGCATTAAAAATTGTAGTGGCCCGAAAAGTTTTATGTACATTGCCAGAAAAAGAGGGACTGAGGGAGCCAGCGAGCGCCAAAAGAAAACCACAACAAAATGAAGTCGAAATGTTTCTGCCTGCTGTTGTTTCGCCAGTTGTTTTTGCTTTTTCGTTGTTCTGGGCCATTATTATTGCCCCTGATGACGTTGTTTTTGTTGTTGTTGTTGTTGTTACTGCCGCTGCTGCGGTGCAGTTCACTTTGTTAAATTATGTGCAGCATTTGTGGGTACACTTTCTAGACGCGGCGAATCGACTGACCTTTGTTGCCCCTCTTCAGCATCCAAACAAAAACCCCACATCTCCCCCTTTTTTTCACGGTGCATTTCTCCTGGGACTCGCGGGTGGCGAATAAAATTAATTATTATTCGCAGAAAAAACCGGGCCTCAAGGGTGAGTTATGAATACAATTTATAGTGATTACCATTTATGCATATTCAGTAATGGGAAATACTTATAGCACCGTTTACATGTTCAATGTTTGGTAGTTTAATGTCTTTAAGTTATTTTCAATGTTAAATGCTTTAAAGTTTTGAATTAAAAAATGATATAAGTATAATTACATCCTCAATTTTTAAGGAATACTTATCTTACTGGAAGATATAGCCAGGAGTAATACGTAATTAATTTGCTTGAACTACGAACATGTAAAATATTCTTCTTTTTTTTACATTTTCCTGTATTTACATTTTAATCTCGTTACACTGAAACTCAGTAACTTAAAACTCTAATATCTTCTCAACCTGGGGATCCACTTCAAAGTTTCATCACAACACAACCGATGTGGTGAGCATTTCCGTTTCAACTAGCATCTGGAAAGAAATAATCTATTGAGAACGGAAATGAATCCCAGGCGGCGTCACCGAGCTAAGAAAAATGGTGGTGGAGGCGCTCCTGGGAAGTGCTCTCATCCAGAACCGCCGAAGAATGCTACCAAGACCTCGAGTAAAACCCCGAACAAAACATCCTTCAAGACACCGAACCAAAATTCTGCTAAAACATCCGAAAAGACTCAGCCAAGATCTCAAGCAAGAATACCACAGAATCAGAAGAAGTTATTCCACCGCAGACTCAAGCCGAAGAAAAGGATCAAAGTCCAAGTCAAAGTCAGGGCAAAGGTCAAGTGCAGGAGGTGAAAAACGAGACCGATATTCTTATTGAAAACCCCAATCGCATCGAGCCACATCGTCATCACGGAGTATTTCTATCACGTAGTCGTTTCGATGCGATTCAATTGCTCACCCGGAATACGAGTTCGAGTACAGATGATTACGGCGAACAAAGAATCGTCTCGGAATTCCGGGGAAAACGCTGTGAATTTCGAGCATGGTCGCCCTTTCAATCCAAGCTTGCAGCTGGAATTATGGGAGGTGCTATCGATTTGCACCTGAAGAGTGGCTCAAAAGTTCTCTATTTGGGAGCGGGATTCGGACGGTCGGTGTCCCACATCTCGGATATTGTGGGTGAGTCTGGAATGGTTTACGCAGTTGAGCAGGGTCCTTGGGCGGGTCGTCAACTCACTGCGCTTTCCAGTCACCGTCCGAATATCGTACCCGTAATCGAGGATGCCACAATGCCGTACAAATACCGCTTGGAAGTTCCCGCCTGCATTGACATTATCTTTTCCGATTTACCGCAGGCCGATCAGGCTCGATCTCTAATGCTAAATGCTAGACATTTCCTAGTTCCAGGCGGTTATTTTGTGGTCTATTTGCACGTTGCCAACGGAAATGGCGTGATTACCAGTAAAGAGGCGTTCGATCCTGCGAAGGAGCTTTTGAGGGAGCACCAGTTGGAACCCATCGAACAGGTTTTGTTGGAACCCTATAAGCCAGGTTACGCCCTCGTAGTGGGCGTGTCCACACGTAAGGAGGTTACCTCTTAGATTGCCTTAGGTTTATGTTTGCGTTGTTATCTTAAAATAATTCTTAGTTCAATAAATTGCAAAAATAAAATCAAATTTAGAGTCAGTGGATGTGAACAAAACCCTATAACAAGTATAAATTAACATTACTCTCACTTTAACCTTTTTACACAAGCTATTTAACCCATTTACAAAATTATGTACTTAATACCTTGGGAACATATGTTAATGGGAATAAGCAATCCCCAAAACTTATCGAATATTTCCCCAATGATTAATGGATGAACCAAGCCAAGATTAAGCCCCGATAATAATCTTATTCAATATTCATCATGTATTGCGCATTCAGCCCGCACTTAATTAGAGGGAACAGTTTTAATTTAATTAGGGATTACAACTAATAAAACTTTTTCATTTCGCTGACTCGGCTGGATTCGAGCACAAACACCATTTGTTCAAACAAATGCATGGCAAAATCTTAATTAACCTCAGGGTGCAGAGCATAAACCGGCGTACTCACTCCTATCCCAAATATATATACATATATATGTATATACGTATATATCTTTAGGATGTCTATTACGCGAGGGTTTCGAATGAAAGAAGGCAAGCTGAGCAAATAAAACTATGCGAGTATGTGTGTGCGCACATATTCATTTTGTATGTTGCGCACTTTATTCCATCTATCCCAAAGACAAAACCAGTCAGTTAACCAGAACACCCAGACACCCCAGTCTATATCCGTATATATATATATCCCCCAGATCCCCAGCTCCTCGACCGCCATGCGAAGCGAAAATTTCGCTGCTCGGGAATTACATTAAGCGTTGGGCATAATAAATTATTCCGTATGATATGATTCTGGTACATGATAAGCGTTTGTAATTTTAACTGTCAGTTAAATGAGTAAATGGCACAGAGTGCGCCAAGTGGGGATTTTCGGGGGAGGCGATGAGGGGATATAGTATGGGAATCTGGGGATATTCGGGGGGAGTACGAGCTCCGCATGGCAACGATTTAGAATACTTCATATTTATCTTTTGTTGGAAACTTGAACATTTGTGTGCGTAAATAAAAGTTAAGCGTCAATATTTGCCAACCTACACACACACACACATTCGCATGGATACTCTACTAACACATGCACACATGTGTAATTACAACTCAGCGGTGGGCGGTGGGCGGGGTGACAAGTACGTGACTATAATCATCGCGATTTTGCCACTGCCACCGCCTCATAATCTGCACAAGCGCCACGCCCCCTCCGCCACCGCCCCCTTACGCTGACCCAAAACTCCCGCCCGCTCCGCCTTTTTTCCCTACTCAAAAAATCCCCTCCGCTATTTGCTTTGAAATTAAAAAAGTTTCGCACTGAGCTCTGTTAGATTTTTCGCTTCTGCCTCTGCCTTGATTTACATGTTAAATAATTTCGTGCTGCTCTGGCTGCTCACCACTCTCCACTCGCTTTTAGTACACTGACCAAAAAGATTTAAAAACAAGCTTTAGATTTAGTATTTAAGAAATGTGTGTGTAAAAATATTTATATGTATGTGTTAGGACAATATCTGACAAATCTGCAAATTCGCCATTCATTCAGTTAACTATTTTTCCTGCGGCAATCTGAAATCTTTTATGTCAATTCCCATTTATTTAAATTCTTTTTTCCAATATGCCCCACTTTCAATGATGCATTTAACATGGTAAGTATTATAAATGTCTCTTTATATTGGCTTTTTTTTGCTATCTGCATTCACTCTGCCACCCTGTCACATCGAAAAACTGTTTGAAACGCATAGCACAAAAGTCAAATATGAGCGGGACGGCAGACAGATGGGGGAAAAAAGAAAGTTGGGGAGGGAAGTTAGTCAATATGTGCGTTGCCATCCCGGATCGCGCATTTGCCAAATCAACAGTTCATTAAATCACGTAGCTTATAAAGGGAAAGCAGCCGGACAGCCACGAAAACTCCAAGAATCCAAACTTTAAGAATTGAGATCCAAATCTATCAGAAAATTGTTTTTAAATGGGTAAATTTGTTAACCATTTATTTTATTAGCTAGAAAAACGCTTATGAACTTATAGATGATTTTAATAATTCAAATTTATGAATTTAAGTTTTAAATAAATTTTCTGTACAATTTAAGATAACAATGGAAACAAACACTGTATAAATGATAACATATTTTGCTCATTAAAAGCATCACCGTGCAATTTATTGTTTGTCGCTGTTCGCTAATTGAGTGGAAATTATGGTGAACTATTTATATTTAAATTATAACTGATGCTGAAAGGATTGAAGTTGATATCCTGTGCCCTTGAGACGCCCACGTCTGTTAGTTTAATTTCGTATTGAAATCAATTAAGCCCCAATACATGATTTTGCAATTAGACTCGCAGTTCTTGTTTTCGCAAAATACGACTATGAGCTAATTAATTAAATCCATATTGGTTGCAAACTTCAACCGGGAATCTGCCACATGCAACCTGCCACAGAATCCAAGCTCTCCCCCCCCCGCATTTGATCTGGGCCATAAAAAATAAAAATATGGCTCAAACTGCAAAATAGAACAATGGCAAGTGGAAATGCGAATCGAGCGTGAAAATATTATGCCCCAAAGTCACCGAAATGCAATGCACAAAGCGCTGTCGAGGATTTCTGCCGCTGAAAGCAAATCGCTGAAATCGCTTGGCGTTTTGGGGGCGTGGCAATGCAAAACAACTTAAAATGTCATATGAAATTTGTAGCGTTGCTGATTGCGCGTGTTAAACAGTCAAAGCGGGGAATTGGGAATGAATGTGCCAGCCACGGGAAAAAGGACTCTTTTTCTCTCCACGACGAACGTACCGCGTAAATCCAGTCACGCCCCAAACACACACACCCACACACCCTCACACTAACACACACACACACAATAACACCCACATCCAAAAAAAAGGGGGCGTAACTAAAAACAAAAGAAAAATCCAGCCGCAAGCGAAACGTGCAAAAATAAAAAGCGAATGCGAGAAATCACAAATTCCAGCGAAATCTTTAAATCCCACGGATTTATGCATTTTTACGTTGCATTTTCTTTACCACGGCCATTGCATGTGGGCTGTCTCTGATCTCCTAGGTGGAAAATCCAGGGAACGGGGGTTTTCCACACTTATGCTGTGTTTTTCCGATTGTGCGGATGCGGGCTAGGTCCTGGACCAATCCGGGTACCAGGATGCAAGGGACAGGATCCAAAAGACGGGAGCGGGAGGCGTGGCGTTTATGTGATTTCTATAGTTTGCCAACAGCGCCTCAAGGTGTCACTGCACTGCGCTGCACTCGAATCTCCATCTGTCCCAGGCCCCAAATGCGATGATTTGCTTTAGAGTGGGCAACATTGCAGCAGATCATAAATGGAACAGTTCTTAAAGTATTATAAGTAATGAATGGTTTATTATTAAACCGCTGCCAAAAACTAAATTAAAATAAACGTAAAATATATGCTTTTCCCAAATATGTAGTCAAAAATAACCATAGATTTTTGCAACTATTTACTTGAATACTTTTTGTTCTAATTTTGAAATGATGGTTAACCTATTAAGATTTTTGAAATAGAAATGTTTTAAAATCGATATATAATTTTTGTTTTATGTTTCAGTATATTTTTTTTTAATGTTCTACATTGTAAGCCATTTAAAAATACTATCGAGTTTTAAGGACCAGCCTAATGTACTTTCGCCAACAAACAGGACAGCCATCGATGACGCTACTGCGTTTCGTCCTTTTTCCCCGCGGCTCTCCGAAATTGCTGGTGCAGTCTGTCTGTGCCCGCTATCAGGACGACGACAGCAGCACCAGTAGCAGTAGCAGGAGCAGCAGCAGGAGCAGCAGAAGCAGGGGGAGCAGAAGCAGCATTGCCCCCTGCACTTTCCACGCTTTCCCTCGCTTTTCCCGAGAGCCAACACTTAGCGCCACGGAAAAAATGCACACAATCGATTGGCGCTGACTCCAATGGCGCCCACAATCACCGGCAGCAGCAAATGCAGGAGCCGACGCAGAATCGGAATCGGAATCAGAACCAGAATCAGAAGCTATATATACGTATATATATATATGTAGAGGGAAGCTATGGCATTGAGGCATTCGGTGCAAACTATCTGGCGCTTTTGTTTTACGATTCCTTTTTGCTTCTGATGATCGTCGTCCCTGTCTCCGCTTATGGCCATGGGCATAATCGTGTTACTGTTTGCTGCATTCGATGTTTGTTTGTCTTCGGTGCTTTCTATACCCCTCCCCCTCCCACTTTCCCATTCCCCTGGCAGCACGGTGTCCTTTGACCTCCCACCACCCACTTTTGCAATGGCACTGCTGCTGCAATCTCTGTGTAATATTTTATTTTCAATTCGCATTTAGTGCAGCCGTGGCAGCATCTAGGGGAGCGGGAATAAATTGTATCTGACAATTGGCAATTGGCCTATCCGACCATTTGATAGTGTCCCAGACTGAGCTCACATCCCTTTCGCTATCCCCATCGCAATCCTTTTGCCAAACACACCTAGAAAAACAGGGTAAAATCAGTTGTTTGCAGTTGGTTGCTACTTGCAACTTTATTTAGAGCTTTTCGCTTCGTTTTTTATGAAATCATTCGTTTTAAATTAATCTTAATCTGAATTAATGCCTGCTAGTTTAAGTTGAATATGTAACACCTATGAATAAAAACATTAACCACTGTGTACAATATTCTATATACCATAATTTATCAAAATCAAATTATCATAATATATTGCTAAAAAAAATGTGCATTGAGTATGCAGTGCTTTTTATGATCAATTTTTTTCGCAGTGCCTGTGCAACTTTTAGGGCTCGTCGATAAATCCATTGGGGGCGTAGTGGGCGTGCCAACCGGCAGTTTATGCTGAATCACGAATTACATTAGACAAGGCCGGGCTTTGCCACAGTGGCACACACCCGCAATCGGAATCGCAATCGCACGGCCACTGCCACAGTGCCTGCCAATTGGATTATCACATTGGACATTGGCGCGGGGTCGGTGACTCCAATTCCATTTGAGGGGGATTCCCACACGCGAACAGTGTCGCATCCGCTGACAGTTTTCATTAAAATTTCGCACTGCCGCCAAAGTGCGTTTGGCATGCTTCAAAGGACTCCATCAATGCCAAATCCCTCTCCTGGCGGCCAGCGGAAAATCGAAAGTCGCCAGTGCAGTGATAAATGTCAAATCAGCTCTGCCGAGTGTCCTGTTCTCCTTCTCGTTTTCAGCGTTCTCATCGTTCACATCGTCCTCGTCTTTATCCACCAAGCCCATCCTCAAACTCGTTGGACGGCGTGAAATGCTTTTTAAGCACTCACATGGCTGTGAATGGATCAGGAAAACTTAGAGATACTCCTACTACATATTTGTGGGGGACCAGATGTCCGGGCCATGTTGGGGGCACATTACGAGCAAACAAAAATTTGCGCTGTCAACTAAATGTCAGAAAAATGGTTCAGCAACGAGCTCCGACTTGGAGCATCCCGCTGCATCCTTACACTGAGGAAAATATGTTTTATGAAGTTGGTAAAATAATTAATATATTATATATTTAATTTTTTTTGAAAAGGTAAAAAAGATAAAACATTAGATGAAAATATTTTGATTTATAAATACTTACCTTCAATTATAGAAGTAAAAGCTGCCAGAAAATGTGTTTTTAATGATCTACCTATGCCATATTTTACGATTTAATAGTCAAATTGGGAATCAGTTAATAGCAGTCGCATTTAATTAGCGAACAATTATTATTTAATATAAAACCTTTTTGTTTTCAGTGCGTCCAGCTTGACACTGTCCCTGGCACGCACGCACTTGATCAATCATGCGACGCCATCGATGTTTCCAAGCTGGCGGACGAGGATGTGGATTTTGCGGAGAATGCGGTTGAGGATGTGGATGTCGATGTAGATGTGGATGTGAATGTGGCTGTGGATGTGAGTGTAGGTGGTGCTGACAAGTGCGCTGCGTGGTATTTGCATTGATGACAACTACACGTCCGCAAACGATTATGGAGCACCTTTCCCAATCCCCTGCTTAGGTTTGAAATGTGGGCAACACTTCGTTTCCATCGCTAGACAATCTGGGCCATCGGGAATCCCTTCACCTTGCGGTCTAAGCGTATTAATAAACCGCTCCGCCAGACATCGATAATAAATCGTTGGCCATTCATCTTGGCTGGGAAATCGGGGGACATTAACCACCAGTCGAGTGGCGGTGCCCAAATTAATAGCTAAAAATTATGTGTATAAAGCAAATATTGGAAAGCGACAACCAAATCCAAACAAATGTTAGAGCTTTTAACTGGGATTATCGGCGCGTTATTTATGCATCATCATTTGTCTTTCGCTGAATCCGCGGCTTGGAAAATGTCTGACCGCGGCATCTGTTTCTCTGTTTTTCTTGCAACCCCGAGAAATGGTTAATTCAAACAAAATTTCTTGGCTGCCTTAAGCCCTGCTATCTAAATTGAGTTCGTTCTTGGTTTTTAAAAGGAGCTAAATTACACAAAAGCAGATAAATAGCATCGTTTAATAATGGACAAAATCTATAGGTTTTCACTTACTTAAAGCTTACCTCAGAAATGTTTAACTGTGAATCAAGTTTCTTAAAAGAAAAGTTTTAACAAAATGTAAAGGATAACTTTTAACTTAAATGCAGCAAACAAGCAATTATTTTGTACTATTTATTTAATTATTTGTGCACCACGAAATAAAGTTAGTAATTCTGAAGCATAACCCATTAGTGAATTTCAAGGTGAGTGCCACTTGAAAATTCAAATAATTTCAACGGTCCGAGTTCTTTTAGTTGTGTTAGCTCCATTTGCACTTAATTGAAAGTGGATTAGCGGAGTTTTATGCTCGGGCACGTTGCCTCATTTGCCAGACTGTTTGGCTGGTTTTGGGTTCCGGTTTTTTTTTCTGGCCAAGGAGGGTGTAATCCTAACCGCAAATACATTGAAAATTAATTAAGCCACACGATGAAACCATGTTAACAAGATGCTTAAAGTAAAAAGCTCTTCTTGGAAAAACAAATGCCGAGCGCCGCCCACTTTTTTTTGTTCCCCGTTACCTAAGATTACGCATACGCAGTGTGGCGCGTGTGAAAAATACTTTGCGAGAAAGTTTTATCAGCCTGCCAGGAAGAAAAAAAAAGAATTTGCTAAGCCGTGTCCCTTCCCCACTTTTTCCTATTCCTTTAATGGGTTCACAAAAGCCCTTTTTGCCATTAAGGTGAATGCCGGCTAAGATCTCTGGAGGCTTTAAGGGCCAACACTCGGGCTTTCTTTCTGGCGCAACTTTATCAGACACCCAATTAAAAGGGCTTTATAACAATTAGAGCTAATAACACGCTTCAATTGTGCCAGCCAGGCCAGAGGGCACAAACACCCAACGTTCACACCCCGAAAATCCCCGATTGCCTCGCCCTTTTTTGCTGGCTTTGGATTTTTATTGGAATTTTTTTTTTCGGGGAGCGGAATTTTTATTTTTAGCGGAATTGCGGTGGCAATTAAAAGGCAAGACCACAGCAATTAGCAAATTGACAACCGGATTTGTTTATGCATTTAGCAGGCTTAGGTCTGCTGTTGCTGCTGCTGCTGTCACTTAAATAATTGAAATTATTATGGCCATTGTTTCGGCCTCTGTAATCTGTAAGCCAAGCGGAGAAAAAGAGTGTGGGCGGTCCAACAACTCAAACAGAGAGCACGAACGAATCTCTGAAATTTGATAAATTAGTTGTGGAACTAAAAAAGTTTTTCCCTATTTTCGTTGAGCGTTGAGCATTGCATTGGCTTGCATTTCTGTGAGCGGCTTATCCCAGTCTGCTGATGGGCGGAAACTTTTTCCTCGGCATCGGGCTAAATGCAAAATCCAATTTTTCGAATGAAAAGTCAAACAGGAATTTAACTTTTGATCCGTTTTTGGCAGGAGTCGGCAATCAGCGTAGAAAACTCGACGCAACGCAAAGCAAAGCAGCGCAGCGCAGCGCTTTTCCATTTTCCGGTTAACAGCTAATAAATTTTCGACACTCGGAATCAATATGTACGCGCCGACCTAAAAACCCATCAAAGAATCGATAGCAATTTCAATTTGACGCCCATTCTCGGCAACTAATTTGCAATCATGAGAGTTTTTGTTAATTTTAATTTGATTATACCATATTACGCATCCGCCACCTTGGCCCGCCGCCATTTTCATTCCCATTGCCGCAGCGATTTCGAATTTTGGCCCGTATTCTGTGGACTGTGGGCTGTCAATTTTGATGGCTCGGCGAAATCATTATCATTGGAAGCACATAAAAATAATATTTGCCGATTTGTGTTTGCATTTTATGCAAGCGCACTGTCGTCGCACGGCCATTGTTTTTCCATTTTATTTGCTTTGGCCTGGCAAAATATTCCAAATACAAATCTAATTAACATTTCGCGCAAAAATGTTTATAACGGCAAAAGACGGACGTGGCGGGGTTTTGGTGATTTGAATTTTAATGAGCTGCGATTGGCATTAATTGTCGCCGGCCTAATGACAGAAGGACGCGAAATATTTACACAGCGGGTAATTTAATAAAAACCATCGGAATCATTTAGAATCCCACCAAATCTATGTAATTTCTGTGCGGATTTCGTGCGTGGGCTCGATTTAAATCGAGTTTGATTATTGACAAAGCCGCTGTAGATCCGTATCGCTTTCAGGCCATAAGTGACAATGCAACAAGCGGAGCAGCAAGAGCGCAACAATGCCTCCTCCCTTACACAATATATCACGCATACGCACCGATGCCATCACTCCCACACACCCGCACACACACACACACTCGCAGGGAGATACAGATGGAAACTTAGGAGCATATGGATGTGCCGTTGCAAACACATGCTCAATTGAATTGAAATTGAATTTGCAATTCTATGCGCTGCAGCTAACGCCATTTTCTTTGCTATACGGGAAGCCCCATCACGTTTGCCGTCTCACTCGCTCTCCCCCATCGCACTCACACGCTCTTTCTTTCTATAGTGTTTTTATTTTATTTTTGCCCTGGGGACGAAAGTCGCCCGACATGGTTATGAACTTGGTCGGCACAAAGTTCTGCTTTCTTGTTGCAGTGTCAAATAGAGAATAGTATTCCTATCAAATGTACTTTCTAAGGTTTAGTTTTTTTTTAATCGGCTTTAAAAAAATTATTACATAAGTCAAGATTTATTTAATTAAATGACAAATTTATATATTTGTGGTTACGTATCATATGAAAAACTAAAATGTGCTATAAATCATTTCTAGAATTATAAAAAATCGTTTTTTTTTTTAAACCAATGCCAGTAAAGCACATGTTTTTGCTACTTTAGATGTAATAATATCAAATGAACCAAACGGAAAACAATTTATAATATGTTCACTATTTTAAATGCTTTATATTTCCTCGAAAAAAAATTAATTTAAAATCAGTTTTGATATCATATCAGAGCTATCATGTTTCTTTTGTTTAAGCTTTTGTCCAGTAAATAATAGTAATTGAATATACATTTGGCATCAAATACTAAATGATTGATGACTTATGGTTCTACTATTTCAACCTAGGTTAGGGCATCTGTATATTCCGGGCTCATCGCCGCAATTTGTAGCCCGGCTTTTTTCTGCAGAATTCTTTGCTGGGCACTTGGCAGCTTTCCGTTTGCCTCCGTGCCATTCGATTTGCTTTGGTCCTGCCGTCCTGCCACTTTTCCACTCCTCGGTTTTTCCTGTCGCTCCTTCTCATGCGTATTTGTGTGTTTGCTTTCGCTTTTTGCCGTATTTGCATTTCGTTATTGAGACTGAGACAAAGCGTCGCAAAAACCTGCCGAGGATTCTGCTCCTGGTTCTGCTTCTCGTTCTGCTCCTGATGCATTCAATCATCAATGAGATTTTGCATTTTACACTTTTCACTCTGGTAACGCTTTTGCTTTTGCTGCTTCTGCCGATTCTCTTTGCCATTGGGCGCAGTCCTTTGTTTGGTTTTGCCAGCTGGAGCTCCTGCTCCTTTGAATACTTCAGCCGGGCTGAGTGCTCCTTGAGCCACTCTCCGTCGTTCCGCATAATTGTTGCCCACACTTAGGATTCCGGGATCCCTCCTCCTCGCTCGATTTTGATTGATAAGACCCCGGCAAGTGTCTCTGATTTATTGATTAGTTGTCAAAGCGATTGCCAAGCGTTGGCAACCTTTGCCGCTGGTCAAAGTAATTAAAATGTAAATGTGACAAACAAATTGTCGATATGTGGGAATAAGAGCAAGGTTTTTTCTTGGCACACATAGGTTTTTCACTGAAGCTAACTATACTTTTAACAAAAGAACAAAAATCGAAATAAAGTCAAGTAAGTTAAGCCACCTTAAGTTTTTTGCATTTTACGTTACTTTTGTTAGACTCTAGATAAAATAAAATTTAGGATAAATATAAAATACTTTACTGTACAATATAGAAAGTTTGATAAAATATTTTTGAAAGAGTTCATGGTTGGTTGTCTAAAATATTGAGAAGTTCTTTTTCCGCTAAATAGAGCGAAACCAAAACTCGAACCTTTAGCTCTTAATAGTTTGCTCACGATTTCATGGACTTACAGGCGACTTTTTTACAGTGCTCTATTCCAGTTGCATTATGGCTCCCCACTCGACATTCGGCACTCGGCAAAATGATTTGTATGTCAGCCGGAGAAGCGAATGGGGGGCACATGTTCGGCATGCCAAACGCCACAAAGTACGCCGCACTTTCGCCTCGCTTTGTTTTGTTTGACTATTGAGGTAAGTGTGTTGCTTTCTTCTCGCCGTTATGGCTGTGCTTTTGGCAAATGCAAATGGCATTTTGCAAGGACAAGTAGACCGGTAGAAACATCACAGAGAGAACCGAGTACCAAGAACAGAAAACAGGGAACAAGAGCAAATTGCATGTAGCGAAACTTTTCCTCATTACGCAGGCGAAAGAAAAACAACGTGCCCGGGTGCTCTTATTTTCCCTTCGGGCAAGTGCTGTATTAAAAATTTAAAATGCCACTGGAGTTTTTTTTTGGGGGGAAAGCGGAATGAGTACGTGGAGCAGTGCCGGGAGATATTACTACCCATTTCCCGGACAGGTGGTGTCGCCTATAGATTCCCAAAGATCGTGGAAAGCCATCAAAGAGCACACAGCCCTTTCCGTATGCAAATTATCTAGCTGAGTGGCGTCAAGTTTGCGGACCAAGGCCGAATGAAAGGCAACCGCTCGGGCTTTCCCCAGATTTTCCATTTCCACTTCTTTTTTTTTTATACCCTACTACAATTTTTCCGCAAATTCGCAAAGGCTTCTGTGCGAAGTTTTTTACGTGCGCCGTCATAGTTTGTCAGCTACTTTCGTTGGCGGTTTATGCAGCTGCATAAATGTTACTTCTACTTACGTAAATTACAAAATAAAGTTATTACGAAAAGTAATTTAAGTTAAAAATTTTCGTGTGCCATCGCAAATGTGCAGCCAACTGGCAACTGGTAACTGGTAACGGGTAACTGGAAAGTGGAAGCTGGAACAGCCAAAGGTGGGCGGTAAAATCAGTTAACAAGTTGCGCGCTTCTCCCTGCGGGCTTAATTGTAACTTAAAGCCGTAAGCAAATTCGCTTAAGCAAAAGTTGGCATTGCTGCAAAAAAGGCAAAAAACAGAAGCGGGTAAATCAATTTGCATTAAACATTCAAAGGCAGCGCAGAAGATGGAAAAAAATGCGAAGCGTGCAACAAAAAGCGGGGGCAGAAACACTCATAAAGAATGCAAACTGAGGTTAAAACCGGAGCGCAAACTTTTAGTTTGCTTTGATTGAGTGAACGTGGCCAAAAGAGCGGGCGGCAAATCCGACCCAGCTGGCCACGCTTAATCAATGGCCCGATGGACAAATGGCCACAAAAACAGGAACAACACGATCGCCTACCTGCAATCGCAATCATGGACACATTCAGTTGCTCGACAACTGGACAACAGGACGAGGGGATTGCAGGACTACAGGAATACGGGAGTGCAGGACAACAAAACCGTAAGCAATTGCCAGTCGCATAATGTCCTGGTCGTCGGAAAATCAAGTTGAAAGTTCCTGGCAACTTGAGGTGCAAGTGTCGTGTTTTTGTCAACGGGCCAACAGCAGCAATTTCCGTTTCCTGTTCGCCGCTGATGGAAAAACGAGGCAACGAGTCAACGAGTATAAAAGTTTAGATTACAAATTCACATACGTAACTGCAGCCCTACACTGGTCAGCAGTTGATTTACCGCTCTCTCACTGTTGTTGTCCTACACTGAGAACAAAAGGAGAAGAACTTAATAATGTAAATAAAGTAATTAAAATAAAATTATGAATGCACAAACAGGTTTATTAAATTAATTTCTTGTATATTTTTCTAGAACAAATAAATAAGTTATGATCCGTTTATAAAGAAATCCCTCTATTTCTTTTTGCCTCTTATATTATAAATTTTTTAAATTTATGTTTCCATTTATTGTTTAATTTATTTTTATTTATTCAAACTTGATATTTTTAATTTCAAGGATTCAAAATCCATTAACCTTCATAAACCTTGTTAGAATCATTAAATCCCAGCTATCCTGTTAACAGTTTTTTAGTCTAATAGATTTTCGGTGTAGTTTGCCTTTAGTCTTGTTTCGTTTGGCGTGTTTTTCTTTTTGGCCCGGCTTGTGTGTTGGCTTGGCTTGGCTTGGTTTTCGTAGCCGGGCGCATGTTTTGTGGTCAAGTCGGGGCAATGGCAATGCAATTGGGGCTGCCGGGGCTCCAGATGCTCCTCCTGCTGTACTTTTTGCCATTGCCACTCATGCGTGCCACGTGCTATGCTTTGATGTGGTGTTCCATGCCTCCGCCGCCGCCTTCGGAATCCGGCTCCTAAATAAACTTGGAATAATAAGAGGCAAAAAAGAGAACGAATTGCCACACAAGCTCGCCTCAAATGTTACTTCTGCATTTGGGCAAATTGGACTCGGCGAAAGCCACACGGACGGAGACACGAAACTTTGTAAATATTTTATGCATAAACACATACCACCTGGAAATGGCTTTCGACACAGCATCAAATAATATTTACTTGGCCAACACACACACAAACACACACACATACTAGTAGTCAGCGGGCTGTTTGGTTCATTAGGCCAGGCCCAAAGAGCCAGTTGGGCCACAAAAACCTGCAGATCAAGTCCGGATTGCGGCAGCTCAATGAATTCACCAACGATTGGCCATCCCACAGATGCGAATTTGAGTTTTCCGGGGCTTCGAGTTGAGAAAGGATGTGGATCAGCTGTCGCAGCGGAAAGCGGTCCATAAATAAGGCAGCCTAATCAACACAGCCATTGGCAGCATTATTGTCACGTATTATTTTACATTTGTCTACGTTTGGCTTCTTTCCTTCCTTATTTTTGTTCTATTTTTGTTTTATTTTTGCTCCTTTTTTTAGTTTTTTTCCCATCTCTCTGGCATTGTCCTTTCCTGGCAAGAGCATCCATAAATTGTGAGCTCTGTACGGGCATCCTTTTTATTTATTTACTCCGTGTAAGTGGAGTTCACTTTGCAATGCAATGCGCTGAGTGCAAGCATCTCGCCGTCTCTTTCTCTTTGTACTACCCGTCTCTTTCTCGGTCTGGAATGTTTCTTGGCACCATCATCTCCATCATGACTATATTCCCCGGCTTTATTTTCCACGGATCGATATGTTCATGCACCTGACTGTCGCGAGTTTTCGATTCAATTTGGCGCTACGGATTAGATGTTCATGGGTTTTCCATAAGTTCAAAACGCCGCGCTGCACTGAACTGGAATACAAATGTAATGAATAATATATTTTATTAAAAACTGTTAAAGTTTATATTAAATCTTATGTATAAGAAAGAGATAACATAAATCTTAAAATAAAATAAGCAATCAAAAATTTGTCCCTTAGACAAAATTAAATGTTGTACATGAGGCGCTGTTCTTAAAAATGATTATAGAAGAATTCACCAATGTATACATTTTGAAGGAGTATGGAAGACGGCCTGTTTCCTAATTCACAATCCTTGGCTTTTGTTGCTGCCTTATGCTAATTTTGGCGTCACTCGCATTCTCTCTGGCAACTTAATCATGCATGTTTACACGCAAGTTCGAGTGGCAAACTCAAACACCCAGGGTTAACAACAGTAAAGTAAATGAATCGCAGGGGGGGTAAGGTAGCCCCCGCCCCCATTGTTATTTGCATAAGGATGCCGGGGGCGTGGCAGGGCATTCGGCACCCGTTCCAGTCCGTTAATCAACGAGCGCCTGCCTAAAGTCAAACATTAAACTAAGTTAAGTTTGTTTGGCAAGAATTTTTGCATAAATAATTACAAATCCGAGTGGCTTTGACGGCAGTGATCATGAACTGGCTAAAGTCAAAGTTATACAATTTAATGTAAAGAGTTGAAATTTTTCGAAATTATGGAATAATGGCTTATTTTTATTCTCATTGAACTCTGGACATAAATCAAAATACTGTTTTATTTTTTAGCTGTCAGCAAGAGTACCAAAAACTCCTTTTGTTAGCATGTTCAGACTCCAGGTATTTGTTTTCTTCATTGTTCAAAGCTTTACTGGCTTGTTACTTCTTCTAAAATTCTTGCTTATCTTAATATAAATAAATAAATAACCTTACCATCAAAATCTCTTTTCAGTTCTCTTAATTAATCTTAAAGCTAACGATATCCTTCTCTACATTTCTTTGCGTTTCCATGGCACATATGGAAAAATACGATTGCGTAATGGAAGATCAAAGCTTTAAATGGTTTTTAAATCGGTAACAACATTTTTCGATGGTTTAAAATAATGTTCCGGTATAGTGAATTCAATTTTTTAAAATGATCAGTATTGATAAAAATATGAAAAAAACAATTTGCGCTGTTTTTGGTTAATTAATCATAACAATTATAATAATATTCCACTTTTAAGGTGTAATTTCCATGTTGTACATAATGCGTTTAAAATGTGGAAAACAGGCAAAAAATTTACATGACCTTTTACTTAAAATTCAATCATTATTTTCCAGCACACGAAATGGGACTGGAACGGTTGGTGCGCTTTATTTTATTGGTTCTGTTTTTAATAATTCATGAAGTACGTATTTACTAGTGCTATTTTAACAATTATGGCCTTTCCAAATATTTTCTTTCGAAGGTCAGACCTTTATTTGAGCTGACAAATGTTAAATGCACTTCCGTGAATGAATCTTTTGCTAGTTTTGGCTACTGCTACCTGAAGTCCGTAAATAGAACATACAAGTATGGGTCCTTAAAAGTAAAATTACACCAGGTGCCCATTTACAAAATTAAAGTAAGCTATTTGCATTTCTTAAATATTATCTCATTACACCGCATATTTATTTTAGGTGAATTTTGCGATTTATCAACGATTAAACGGATACAAACCATTTCTCTATAATGTCACTGTTGATGGGTGCAAGTTTATCAAAAATCAGAAGTCTTCTCCAGTATTTTCATTTATTTTTAACATGTTTGCTACCTACTCCAATATGAATCACACTTGCCCTTACGATGTAAGTGATTTTGGTAAATTTATTAAATCTATTCATTAGATATATGTTTCAGCATGACATCATTCTGGAAAAAGTCCCGTATTCCTTTATAGAAAATCATTTGACGAATACCTTGCCGTTTCCCAAAGGAGCTTATGGATTCTTTAGTCATTGGTATGGTGAAGGGAAAAAACGAGCATCAGTTAATGTATATGGTACACTGACCTAAATTAAAATTATTAAATCAGCATATATGCACAATTAAAATATCCTAAAGCTAGAAGCTAAAGCTAAATATTGCTCTATTTCTTGTTCCTTTGATTTTGCGTTGTTTTAAACCACTTACACAATTCACATTAATAAATCTTAATAACTACCATTATGTACCATTCAAAAACTAATTTTTATAATTCGTTTTTGGTGAAATTTACACATAAATGTTTGTATAGTTCTAAATACGTTCAGTTGTGTTTCAGTCGCCATGCTATTAAAATATTCTTTGCTGATTTCACTTTTTGTACTGCTTTTAAATATTCATGATGTCGGTATTTATAACTGAAAACCAATCAACGCAACCTTTTTAAATAGGTTTGTTCTTAGGCAAACTCTACTTTTGAGATGACAAATATTAACTGCACCTCATATGATGAAACTTATACTTCGTTTGAGTACTGCTTTTTGAAGTCTGTGAATAGAACATACAAGTATGCATCCTTACGAGCAAAACTGTACAGTGTGCCTGTTTACAAATTTAAAGTACGTAATTTTCATTTAAAAATAATTTTGTCATTAAACAATCCATTGCAGTTGAATTTCGCGATTTATCAACGGCTCAACGGATATAAACCATTTCTCTATAATGTTACTGTTGATGGATGCAAGTTTTTAAAAAACCAAAAGTCGTCTCCAATAGCTTCATTTATTTACAACCTTTTTGCTTCCTACTCTAATTTGAATCACACTTGCCCCTATGATGTAAGTGCTTTTTGTAGAATTAGTAATTCATTTTAAGAGATATATTTCAGCATGACATCATGGTGGAAAAAGTGCCGTACTCTTTCGTGGAACAACAATTGACGCATAATTTACCATTTCCCAAAGGAGCCTATGGATTCTATAGTGATTGGTATAATGAAAAAATAAAACGAGCATCCGTAAATGTGCATTGTACACTAACCTAAATAAAAATTAGTAAAGCAACATACATTTAAAATAACTGAATTATATACATATATTTTGCCAAATAAAAAAATATCTGTCTGATTTTAATTGTTTTTTTTTTGTAATACAACTGATTTTGTGATTTTCGAAACCAGCAACACAATTTAGGTTTATTATTTTTAATAATTGCCATAACATCCCATTAAAACAGTAATTTTTATTTAGTTTTTAATGATTGCTTCATAAAGAGCGAACATACATATGTATAAAAGCCAAAGCTCTAAATTCATCCAGTTGTATTTTAACAGTCGCAATGGGATTGAAATATTCTTTTTTAATTTCACTACTCGTCCTGTTTTTAAATTTTCATAAGGTGGGTATTAAAAAGTAAAATACAAACCATTTCTCTATAATGTCACTGTTGATGGATGCAAGTTTTTAAAAAACCAGAAGTCTAATCCAGTATTTGCATTTATTTTTAATCTCTTTGCTGCCTACTCCAATATGAATCACACTTGCCCCTTCGATGTAAGTGATTTTGGTACAATTAGTAAGCCATTTTCAGAGAGATATTTCAGCATGACATTATCTTGGAGAGACTGCCGTATTCTCATGTGGAACGACATTTGACGGTTACCCTACCATTTCCGAAAGGAGCCTATGGATTCTTTAGTCATTGGTATGCTGAAGGGATAAAACGAGCATTCGTTAATGTTTATCTTGCAATTACCTAGATCAATATAAGTAAAACCAATTTAGCCTGGCCAGTGTTATTTAACTCAATAAAAACATTGTTCCCCATTTTTTAAAACTTATATTTTTTTAGTCGACACTTTTATTTTCAAAGCGTAAAACTAAACTCTATACAAGTCCATAGGGTTTGATCATCAAATTTAATGTCATTATTTTTTTAAAACAGAAAGCTTAAGTGCTTCCAAATTAAGCTGCATTAGTTTTAAAATCATGAATAAACCCTTTTTAACATATATCGTTATTGTTTTTTTGTACCGTTTATTGGTTCATTACTCCACATATCGATTTTAGCTAAATGTTGCGATTTATCAACGGTTGAATGGATACAAGTTCGTATTGAATAGAAAATCCTCTCCAGTAAAAAGCTTTGATTTCAACCTCATGTTCTTTTTGTTTAATACAACTGATTTTGTGATTTTTGAAACCAGCAACACAATTTAGGTTGATTAATCTTAAAATTTCGACAATATCCCATTAAAACAGTAATTTATATTTAGCTTATAATGATTAATTCATGAACAACGTTTAAAAGTTAAAGCTCTAAATTCATTCAGTTGCTTCTTAACAGTCGCAATGGTACTGGAATATTCTTTGCTAATTTCACTACTCGTGCTGTTTTTGAATATTCATGATGTGTGTATTAAAAAGTGAAAACTAATCAACGCTGTTATTAAAATAAGTTTATTTCAAGGCACACTTTTCTGTTGAGGTGACAAATATTAACTGCACATCCCTCGATGAATCTTTTTCTTCGTTTGAGTACTGCTTCCTAAAGTCTGTGAATAGAACATACAAGTACGGGTCCGTAAAAGTAAAACTAGGGGAGGGTGGTCCCATACCGACCCCCTAAAAGGCAAAAGCGATAAAGGTGAGAAAAATCAATTTTTCAGTTCAGTTCAAAAATTTACTATGTAGAGGGATCAGTTTACTATACATCTAAATGATTAGTAAGTGAGTAGGTGCTTTGAAGCGTTAGATATTCAGGCAAATATAAAACTCTACTTTTTGGTCGTACTCAAAAGTAGTGGTCCGAAACCGACCCCCTATTTCTTAACAGAAAAATTTAATAACATAAAATAGACTTTAATGATTTTGACGTTTATTAAGAAATATATTGAAGGTTCTTTCCAGAAAATAAAAATTAATGTATGAAATAAAGGGCACTGTAGTCAATTGATGAAGTCTGAGTTGTCCTCTTTCTCATACTAAGTTTTCGCGTTGTTTTCGCGTTGTTTTTCGAAAGCCGCTCGTTGATGACTGTCTCTTCGCTTTCTTCTGATGTGTTTTGATGTTTCTGTTACTTTTCTTTACTGAATCTTGTTTACTTTTTCATATTTTCCCTCAAAAATACGCTATGACATATTAAGCTGCCAATAAATGGGGGTCGGTTTCGGACCATCACCTAGCGGTCGGTTTCGGACCACCACGACCTTTTCTGATTAACTGCTCGGCATTAACTAAAGACGCAAAGAGCGATGTAATTCTAATTATGTGAGTGAAAGCTAGGACTATCAACGATCAGAAAAATGTACTCTCCGATTTTTATGCGGAGAAAAAAAAATTTAAGCTCAAGTTCAGTAACGCTCAAAAATAAATGTCACAGGCGTTGAAACAAAACAAACGGAAAAATTGCAGTGAAACAAAATAAGTCAAAGTGGCTATCTATCTCCAAAATGTCTGTGTTATAACAGCTTTTCACTGAAGTTACCGACAATTCGGCTAGCATCGCCATCTCTGAGAAACATGGGGGGTCGGTATGGTACGACCGGTCGGTATGGGACCACCCTCCCCTACACAAGGTGCCTGTTTACAAATTTAAAGTATGCTATTTTAGTTTGTAAAATATTCTCCCATTACACCGCAGATTTATTTCAGGTGAATATTGCTATTTATCAACGGCTAAACGGATATAAGCCATTTCTCTATAATGTCACTGTTGATGGATGCAAGTTTTTAAAAAACCAGAAGTCTAATCCCGTGTTTGCATTTATTTTTAATATCTTTGCTGCCTACTCCAATATGAATCACACTTGCCCCTACAATGTAAGTGTTGTTGCTAAAATTAGTAAGCCATTTTGAGATAAATATTTTTTAGCATGACATCATCGTGGAGAAACTGCCGTATTCTTACGCTGCACAACATTTGACAACTACTTTACCATTTCCGAAAGGAGCCTATGCATTCTATAGTGATTGGTACGGTGAAGGGAAAAAACGAGCATTCGTAAATGTTTATCTTACTCTTACCTAGATTAATATGACTCAAACAAGATAAATTAATAACAAAAAAAGTACAATGACTTCCTTTTCTAAATTCCATTTGGGTTTAGCCAGGCCAGTGTTAGTTTTGCCGATAGAAATATTATTCCTTTTCACTTCTTTTAGTCGATACATTTTTTAACCAAAACTACGCACTATGCAAATTATTGCCACGGCAAGTGGAGCATAAAATTTAATGTCATTATTTTTTAAAATAGAAAGCTTGAATGCTTTTTAATTTAGATCCATTAGATTTAAAAACATGTATAAACCACTATTAACAGATATGGTTCTTGTTTTTTTTGCACCGATTATTGGTTCATTACACCACATATTGATTTTAGCTGAGTGTCGCGATTTATCACCGGTTGAGCGGATACAAACCATTTCTTTATAATGTCACTGTTACTGGGCGCAAGTTCATATTGAATAGAAAATCCTCTCCAGCAATGGTATTTGATTTAAACCTCTTTGCTTCCTATTCCTACATGAATAACTTGTGTTCCGTCAAGGTAAGGAAATTCAGATTAAAAAATCTAATTAACTACCATTATGTATCATTAAAAAGTAATTTCTATAAATAGTTTTTAGTGAAGAATGTAGACATAAATACATCTAAATTCGTTCAGTTGTTTTTCAGTCGTCATGCCATTAAAATATACTTTGTTTATTTCACTATTCGTGCTGCTTTTAAATATTCATGATGTGGGTATTAAAAAGTGAAAACTGATCAACGCTGTTATTAAAATAAGTTTATTTCAAGGCACACTTTTCTGTTGAGTTGACAAATATTAACTGCACTTCTCTGGATGAATCTTTTTCTTCGTTTGAGTACTGCTTTTTGAAGTCTGTGAATAGAACATACAAGTACGCGTCTTTAAAAGTAAAATTACACAAGGTGCCCATTCACAAAATCAAAGTGTGTTATTTTCATTCCTAAAATCATTTTTTCATTAAACCACATCTCGATTGCAGATGAATTTCGCAATTTATCAACGGCTAAATGGATACAAACCATTTCTCTATAATGTCACTGTTGATGGATGCAAGTTTTTAAAAAACAAGAAGTCTTCTCCAGCATTTGCATTTATTTTTAACCTCTTTTCTTCCTACTCCAATATGAATCATACTTGCCCCTACGATGTAAGTGATTTTGGTATAATTAGTTAACCATTTTAAGAAAGATATTTTAGCATGACGTCGTCGTGGAAAAAGTTCCGTATTCTTATTTAGAAAAACAATTGACGTATACCTTGCCGTTTCCCAAAGGAGCCTATGGATTCTATAGTGATTGGTATGCCTATGGGATAAGACGAGCATTCGTTAATGTTTATCTTAAACTTACTTAGATTAATTAACCGAATTTGGTCTGGCTTAATAAAAACATTGTTCCCCATTTTTGAAAACCTTTTTTTTATTTTGGTCCAATCTCTTTGTTTAAGAGCAAAACCAAAAACTATTAAAATTACCACCACGACCAGTGAAGCATAAAATAAAATGTCATTATTTTTTTTGAAATAGCAAACTTGAATGCTTCTTAATTAGATCCATTAGATTTAAATACATGAAAAAGCCCTAATTAACATTTATGTTTACTGTTGTTACACGAAAATTGATCAGTGATAAGCTTTTTGCGGCCTTAATTTACCTCTTCCGCCGAAACACTTGGGGAAGTAAATGGTGCGCCCAAACTGAAATCGCCTTAATTAGAGAAACCAGAAAGGGGAAGACTTCAAGGGCCTGCAGTGGCTCAATGGTCGGCGAATGCAGCTAGAAGGCTGAAATGGAGAATGTCCCGACAATGTAGAACACCATCCATCAAATGTCAATTGTATGCCAACTGCCAACAAATCAAGCTGTCATGAGGCAATGGCAAAAGGCAGTCGACGAGCCAGTGAAGCGTTCAACCAGAGCAAAGTATTTCTGGAGCTTCGGTCCATATTTAAAATTATGCCACTAAAGCAGCCAATGTACTCGAAAAAATATTGCAAACTTAATACAAAGGAGCAGTGTTTTCTTTATTAAACTTTAAATTCAACATGTATTCTCATATATGACTTTTAATCCGTAGATCATATTATACAAAAAAAGAAATTTACAAGCAACTCTTTTTAAATTCAAAAATTTCGATTAATATTTTGTAGTGTTCTGCACTATCCTTTCCTGTTAATAATAAAATTAAAATTTCTATTAATATAAAATCTTTTTTTCGTGTGTGACTGTGAGGCAGATGGTGTCCCCTGTATAGGTTCCAGGCTCCATCCATCCATTCATCTATCCATCGTCTCGTTGCAGCTGTCAGCGCTCTATTCTGCAGTTCATCATCATTGTCATTGACATTTTCGAGTGGCTACAATGGCTGAACAGAGGAAAACGCGGGGCGCACTGATTTGCATTGCTTTCGATTTATTTGTGCCTGAAAGATTTATGCGACAAGGGGGGTCCTGGCACACTGCCACATACCCAGCATCATGCCCATTTCGGGGATGTGAGAGTAGTTTTCCACCATATGAAGTAGGCCACCGCCAAAGGCGTCTTCTTCGAGGAGGAGTTGGCACCCAGGAACACAAGCAGACTTGGCTGTTGCAACACGATCGATCTCTGTTCCCCAAATGAGATAATGCCATTCTGAGCAATATATTTTTTGGGTATTAGACCATGTCGTTTTTGGGCAGAAGACTACGTATTTCCCGTGTTTAAAAGTGTGTTTATGTTGCTATTGAAATGGGTTTCTTTTGTTTTGGTGTATTTATCAATAATTGTGCAACTGTGGGACAGTAACTCTAAAAAAGAGATTCTTTAAATAACAATAATAAGAGCATTACACTAAGCGCTATTTAATAAAAACAAAATAAATAAAAAGAGACTCTTAAATTGATTTTATTTTCAGCTTAGTTCTTGTTACAAACAAATATCATAAATGGTTTCGTAGTATTTTGCATTGCTTTCGATTTTTTTCACAACTACCTTATCTTAATATTTGGGTCACACCTTTTGTTGGCCAATAAAATGCCAACCAGGTTCAAATCAAACTGGACTAATATTAGAATTTAGCGGAGGAGTTGCCATGGATCCCATTTAAACTTCGGCTGCAGGAAATTGATGCCATTAAGCTCTTGTCTGGCATTTTAGTGCAGTCACCGGAAGTGGCTTGGGGCGTCGATTTATTTAAAGAAAAAATCAAAGAGCATAAAAGCGAAAGTAGAGTGGAGTGGAAAGTGGGAGAGAGAGTGGGCGTGGGGACACTTTTCCGGGCAGACGCATACATCAAACTGCCAGACAGACGACGGCGGCCCACAACATGCATATCAGTCAATTTATCTCCAATTGTGTGTGCGTGTAAAAAAATTACGCAATTTATACGGGAGGATCCGTGGGTGGGTGTAGGTTTCGGTTAGTGTGTGTGTGTGTGTGTGTGCCTGCGGACCCATTGAACTCTCTGCCAGGGAAATCTACATATTGATAAATGACCCCAGCAGCCAGCGAGGCAGAAAAATCGATGGACGAGCGCCACTTGACATTTAAAGCGCCGTGGCGAATTTATGCGAATTTATATTGCCTTCGGCGTGGCCTGTCTTTGATTTCATTTAATCAGATGTCGATAATTGCGAAGACCGGACCCGAAAACTGGGTCACATTACTACTGAACGGCATGGGTTTAACAAACTTAAAGCAAACTTTATTATACACAGGCGACAGATGGAATGACCAACTGCGATTGCAAACTGGCAATTCTGGCCGTGTCCGAGAAAAACTTCATCAAAATGCAGCCTCCGCCTAGCGGCTCAGTGGAAAAATCGGTGGAAAATCGACGAACGACAGCGGTAGCAAAGTGTAAAATAATTACTCGGCTTTTTCTGCATTACTTGGCCGCTTTTTGACGCACTGTTTCAAGTAATTAATTGAATAAGCGCCTTGGCCCGCAATTGTATTAAATTGCCCGCTGCATTCCCACTGATTGACTTTCTGTCTCTGCGCCAATAATTATTCAAAGTGGCTTCGCACGCAGATCCTGCTGGAGTGGGCGAAACACAATTTAAGGTCCGGATTCAATTGATTTCACTTAAATTTGCCATCCAATTCACTGGAAAAAAATAATAAATCCATGCATTTTTGACTGTTATTTTACATCACTTAAACATATTAAACATCGTAACATGTATTTTTCATCAACAAATAACTAAATTGTATATCTCAAAATAACAAATGTATGTATGTATGTAGCATAACCACCACCAGTTTTTCTTTAAGTTTTTAATAAACATGACTTAAAAGAAATGTTCACATCCGTAACGCATATTCAATATTAAACAAGAAAGACTCTTTCAGCCTTAAAAAGGTAATTAAATCACGCCCCTGAAATCCTATTCGTTTGAGATGCGGCATCGTATCAAGGGAACATTTAAAATATATTTCGTTGCCTTGACTACTGGGGAAACAGTTTTAAAGCAGTTTGTATTTGTGTTTTTAAGTATCTGGCTTGCATAACCTTTTCCGTTTCCATAAAACATCGGGGGAAACTTGCAAAGTAGTTGCCAACTTTTATTGCCTGGCCAGTACTTGTCGACATCGTCTCTTGAAAACGAGGGAAGCGAGGGTGATCATTCTCTCGTTTTTTTGATGACCATCAAAAATACATGGCTTGTTGTGAATCTCGGCAAACATGGCCTTTGCATTGCATAATTACACTGGCAAAGTTGCTTGGGAAACATCTATGTAAATGGGAAAAAGGTCAGGAAAATAGGGGTGAAATCAGATGCTGCGAGCGCTGCGTAAATAATTGTCTGTTGCCACATAGCTTGGAAATAATTTGCAACCAAACGGAAAAAGCCGCACGGCAGCACACACGAAATTATAACATTTAATTTTTAATTATGAGTGTTATTAACATGCCTGAAACTTTTCGCCACAGACACACGGCAACCGGGGCAACTATGGAATGAATGCGAGAATTAAAAACCGCAGAGAGATAGAGAAACATCGAGGGCCAGGGATACATACGTAAACGTAATTATTTTGCATTTAAAAAAGGACACGAGTCGTGAACGATGGAGTCCTTGGATGCCGTTTGCCACCTAATTATCTCGACTAATTGGGAGGCAACAAAAGCCTTAATAATATAACACTTTAGTCAGTCCAATGGTCATATTGAGTGGCTTTTAACTTAATAATAAAGCAAAAAAGGAAACTATACCCTTGCAGTCATCAAATATCTTGAACAATGTGCAGGTTTTGGTCCATCCCCGAAAAAGCCAATTTTCGGTTTTTTGACAGGGGTAACATCATTAAAATTTGAAAAAAAACCGAACTAATGAAGTTTATTAGGGGACATTGTCACAAGCATTTTGAGGTATACAAATCCAAAATCGGACTTCAATAAGAAAAGTTATAGGCTCTTTAGTGCTGGATTTAGGCTATTTTCGGAAAAAGCCATTTTCCGGATTTTTAGTTTAAAAGCGTTTATATGGACTATAAAATTTAATTGATATGCTTAAGCCTTTTTAATGCTTTGAACTTGTACATAAACTTGAGACCTACAAAAACTTGACAATTTTACTAAATACGCATTGAGTGGTTCAGCTACCTTGTTTGTAGAATAAATCGAAGAAATATTTCGAACTTACATGCAACAAAAGCTATAAATATGATTGTGCGCCATTTGTTTGTGTTTATATAGTAAAAAACAATGCCGGCCAGTTGGCCACTGATTTATAGCCGGGTCCGAACTCGGGTCGTGTCACTTACAAGTCGAACAGCAGCTGCTGCTGCTGTTGCTGCTGATGGTGCAGCAGTTGTTGCTGCGGGAAAGCGATTTCTGTTGCAGTTGCATCTGTATCTGCGGTCGCGATGGCTTTGTTTCCGGGCCGCGTTCATTATTCATCAATAGTTTTTTGGCCAGAACGTTTTAATGTGAAGTGCGCCGGCGTTTTTTGCATGTTTATTTAAGCGCGTGTACTGCAGGTGTTGATGCAATATTAATGGCATTTTAAATGCCGCAAATGCCGGCTTGCGTAGAAAGTCTTTTTGATATTTTTCACCAATTAATTTGCCATTTAATTTTTAATTATATTATTGCCGACAGCGAGTGGCTTTTGTAACACGAACATTGCACATTTCATATGCAAGTTTTGCGCCAAATTTATTGTAATTTACTTAAGAGCCATTCCCCCAAACAGTTTGCATTCGAACAGACGAGAACAGCGTGGTGAGTGTATGGTAAAAATGCAATTTGCTTGTTATGTGCATTTTTAATGGCACGTAAATAAATTGCTGCCGCGCCATATTAAGCTCGATGCAGCAAACCCAATTAACATTGGCTCAAATAGCTTGTCGATGGCGATGGCAATGG